AAACAAAAAGAAAAATACCGGATGGTCTCACTTAATAGCAGGATTGTAGAGGATCCAAAAATAATAAGGGAGCAGGGAAAAAAAAGACTAATTATAATAAAGTAAAAATCAAAATCAACAGGCAACTATAAACCAGAAACATACTGCAGCGGGGAGAAGGGAGTAGTATCAAAACAAGGGTAGGAAGAGCACAAGGTGCTCAAGAGCACAAGAGCTCAAGAGCACAAGAGCAGAAGAGCACCATGTGCTCAAGAGCACATGGTGATGGTTCATGGGTGAATGGGTGGTGGGAATTTCACAGGGACTATAACCAAGATGAAAATGCATACATTGTACAAAAATGAAAAATGATGTAAAAATACATAAAATAAAATTTAAAAAATCTTTTATGTGTTTACATGCTATCCTTATATCTTTGGTGATAGACCTGTGAAAATCTTTTGCCTATTTTTTAAAATTGAATTGCTAATTTCTTATTATTAGGCTCACATACTCATGGTATCATTTGTCAAAACTAAGAAATAAACATTGCTATAACACATAGATCATTCTTTTGATGCTGTATATAAAAACTGTGCCTAGAAATTTCAGGATGAGGGGCAGGTGGTGAAATATTTTTAAACTAAGATATCATATATAGTTTCACTGATGAATACTTATATAAAAGTGGATACATTTTTGCAGGCAGTTGTGTGGATTTCTACCTAACTCCTAACTACCCGTTAATCCAAATTCCTCAGTGTAATTCTATTCCTGTCAAGTCTAGAATCCTACATTAAGTACATAATCAAGTCCATTGATCAAGAAATCACATGCAAATGAGTAGAAATATCCAAAATGTTTTTTTTTTTTTCACCATTGGTTCATTGTAGACATTAGAGTTTAGAATAAAATCTGAGCGTCAAGGATATTTTGCAGTAGATTTATATATGATCAACAGTGGATAAAAAGATGAAAGAACAAATTAGAAATAGTTCAAAGGTATAAATTACCTCCATTTGTAATTCTCACTGAACCATGTTTTTAGGTGCAAAAACCACTTACTTGAATTTCTTAGAATTGAAAATATTTTTCATAAGTATAATAGTGCTTAATATTGTGTGTCTATTATGTTGTCTATAGTTTTCAGTGCTTTAAAGTATCTCATTGAATCCTCAGAACAGTCCCATGAAATAGGTAAATTAATTTTGAGGAAATAGCACAGAGAAATATTTATTTAGTGAACTTTCCTAAGATCATATAGACTGTGTAGTTACCAGAGGGAAGGTGGTGGGGGGGGGCCCTAAAAAACAGAGGATAGGGAGCAAAAGTGACAGGGATGTAACACTGGAACTTTGATGGAGGGTGAGGTATGTTCAAATGTAGAAGTAGTTCCAAAATTATATAGTTATGGGCATATAATATTTTAACAGCTTTATTGAGGTATAATTGATATACGTTTATATTAGGGTTGGATGGATGGAGGGAGAGAGAGAGAGAAATTGACCCGCATGATTATGGAAGCTGAAAATTCACATGACTTCTCAAAAACCTGCCAAAATAGATGCCCAGGAGAGCCAGTGGTCTAATTCTAGTTTAAGCCCAAAGGTCTGAGAAACCAAGGACAGGACAGGGGGCCAATGATGAAATTCTACTTTGAATTCTACCCAGAAGTTTGGGTTTTTGTTCAAGGGCAGAGTATGAATGCAAGTTCACCCTTCAACAAATAATGTTGGGAAAACTGGGCTGGACAGCTACACGGAAAAGGATGAAACTATATCACTATCTCACACCTTACACAAAAATTAACTTAAAATGGGTTAAAAACTTTAGTGTAAGACACAAAGCCATAAAATACTTTGAAGATTATATAGACAAAACACTACATGACATTGGTTTTCAGTGATGTATTTGTGGGTTTATCTTCAAAGGCAAGAGAAATGAGAATATAAACAATAGGACTGTATCAAGCTAAAAAACTTTTGCACCATGAAGGAAACTATCATTAAAACAAAAAAGATACCCTACCGAATGGGAGAAAATATTTATATATCATACATTCCACAAGGGACTGATAACTAAGATATACAAAGAACACATACAACTCCATAAAATAAAACAAATACCTCAATTAGAAATTGGGCAGAACAGCTAGTTAGACACTTCTTCAAAGGAGACGTGCAGATGGCCAACACACACATGTAAGAATGCTCATCATCACTTAATCACAGAAATGCAAATCAGAACCACAATGACATACCATCTCACACCTGTGAGAATTATCCATATCAAAAAAAAAAAATCCAGAGACAGCAAGTGCTGGCAGGGATATGGAGAGAAAGGAACCCTTGGACGCTGTTAGTGGGAATGTAGACTGCTGTGGCCCTTATGGAAAACAGTATGGAGATTTCTCAAAGTATTAAAAATAGATCTCCCAGATGATCTAGCAGTTCCACTCTTAGGTATCTCACTAATTTGTAGAGCTATGTGTGCTCCTATGTTTGTTGAAGCACTATTTACAGTACCCAAGTTATGGAAATAACCTAAATGATAAAGGAAAGATGAGTGGATTAAGATGATGTACGTGTATGTGTGTGTATATACACACACAATGTAATTGTATTCAGTAATTTAAAAAAAAGATGAACTCTTGCCACTTGGAACAACATGGATGGAATTGGAGAGGATATTTCTAAAGTGAAATAAGCCAAGAAGGAGAAAGCATATATGTGAAATATAAAGAAAAAAAACAAAGGATCAATCAAAACCAAACCGATAACAAAACCTAGGAATTTGTCTGGTGAATTAAGATTCCAGGTGGGGAAGGGGAAAGGGAAAGATATAAAGTGTGGAGGAGGATCTTGTTTTGTTAAGTTGCTTATTTTTTTTTTTATTTAATTGCAAATTATTTGCCAGTTACATAAATCTGTACTTTCAAAGAATCATCAGCTACCCTGGGAACTTCATCTTCCTGAAGAAGAATTTTTTCAAGTTAAAATTGATAACCTCCAATTTATCCAAGTTATCAAATTGATGACCTCCAGCAGTGGTAGCCCACTGTTCTAGGATTTCTCCTTCCAGTCACCATGGGGTTTCCCTTTCTTCTCTCATCTCAGTATGATGTTGTAATTTGGTTTCATATGAATCTTGTTCCTTCATGTTAAAGTCTTTTTGACTGTTCTTTTTATATAAAAGCTAGAAGCAGGGCCTCCCCTGGTGGCGCAGCGGTTGAGCGCTGGGCTGCGAAGCTACCCGCAGCCTCTGCAGTGCAGGTTTGATCCCCGGCCACCTGCGAGGGTCCCACATGGCGTGACAGACCTCTCCTGCCATGCCCGCTGCTCCCCTCAGCAGTGTATTTCGTCAGTCTGCTTGTTCTCTTCCCCTTTCTGGCTCTAGTGAATTCTTTCACCCTCCTGCACTTCTGACTACCCAGTGCTTGTATAAATAAATAAATAAATCTTTAAAAAAAAATTTAAAAGAAAAGCTAGAATCAGCTTAATTAATTAAAAACAGGTATCCTTTTTCTTTCTTTAGTATATGGTTTTCAAATTTCCATACATAGATATATTTACTTGAATTGTATGAAGTTAACTTTTTTTCAGGTAAAAGAATTGCCCAATATTGCCAATTTCAAAAAGTTCTGCTTAGAAGATTATTTCTTGCTAAGTATATATTTGACATTTTATTGTTTGGGGGTATTTTTTGGTAATTGAGGACTTCTAATATGACATATAACTGGCAGTGATGGTTGATAGTCATTTGTTTCTTAAGTTTATAGGTTGGCATGTAATTACAAGACTTAAGCATGTAATTGAAAGTCATATACAAGACTTACTGTGATTCTTTTTAATTTCCCACTTCTATAACTCATCTGCAATTAATTGTCATTTTACTATCTCCTTTTCCATTTTGATACCTTTTTTAATCTTCATTTTATGTAATAATATTAATGGATATTCTTCTTTTAGGATTCTTCATTAAATCTGATACTGACTTTTAGGCTTATTTATTAAGTATCTGCTTATTCCTATAGATTTAAAAAATTTAATGATTGTTTCTCAGATGTCTTTCAGTGACTATAGAGATAATCATGTAAGATATTTTTTCTTTGGTATTTTTGCATGGCAAACAAAATATCAGAGCTAAACTCCACTTGATCATAACAGTGGTGTATTATTTCTTTGGTATGAGCCTGGAGACTTTAGAAGTTTTGCATGTAATTTCACAAATATTATTAACCTATAGTAGTATTCATATTTCTGTGCTGTGTGTCTGTGTGCTATTTATGTTAATTTTTTATGTCACTGTTCCCTATATAAAAACAAAAAGCTTTCCTTCTATGCTTTAAAATAGTTTATGTAACTTTGAGTTATCTGTTCTTAAATATTTGGTAGAATTTAGAATATCATTGGCAGCTGGTGTTTTTCTGAGATTGGCTCTTTGACAACTTTGTTTCTTCTGTGATCATTATCAGATACTTTTTTTGAAGTATTTCTTATTTTACTTTCATGAAATTCATGTATTTTTTTAAAAAAAGATTTATTTATTTATGCATACAAGAGCTGGGATGTAGGCCAGAGGTGTGTGGGGTGGTGGGAGTGAAAGGATTCCCCCGAGACAGTAGGGAACAGAGTGGGGATTTACTGAAATACACTGCTGAGGGGAGCAGTAGGGAGACAGGAGAGGTCTGCTGTGTCATGTCAGTCAGCTCCCTGGCTGGGATTGATCTCAGGCCTCAGTGGCTGGTGATAACTTGATAGGGCTGAGACTTTAACCCCTTGCACCATTAGAAGGCCTGAAATTCATAATATCTTAATTGGAATACTTATAATGCTATGTACATCTTAGGAGATTAAAAGATATTGCCCTTGGTTTGTGTACATTTGTTTTCATTATGAAATTGTTAATTTTTTAAGTGCATAGGGAACATCTCTTTGTTTATTACTTCAAATTCTAGCTCATAAGTTGGCTTAATAATTTTTGCTTCCTTTCTTTTGATGATGATGACTGATGTTTTTCAGGCTTCCCAGTTGGCATGTATGTTGTAAAGAGAGTTCTTCACCTTCATCATATTACTCTCAAGATGACAGCTGTACATTAGAAAATGAAGATGTACAATTCCAGGAAAAGGTACCTTAAATAAAGTTGTCATTATAATTGTTTGTCAGCTAAGACTTCCTAATACATGTGGAATAAAAGTAATTTCAAAGATACTAAGATAAAAAATTTGATGGTAATTATCCTGCTATAATCTGTGGAGTTACTCAGATAATTTTGAAATTAAGCTAACTCTGAGATATTTATATATTTGTTCTTATTTAATCAGTTGGAATGTTATAATATCCTTAGTCCTATGGTAGGAAAAAATAATCACTGTTTAGAGAACTGAAAACTAGTGGCTCTGTTTTCAATGCTCTAAATATTTTCTAAAGAAACTACAGTCTTATAAATGAAAAACTGTGAGAAATGAAGATTATAGAGTCTGTAATAAGTGGCTGTATAGTTTGTTTTATATAATTGAGTAGAGTGAATAGACAAAATCCAAACAACCTAAATCATTTATTTTTTTAAATGCTCAAAGGTGAATATTGACTAGACTTGGCTCCCACCCTATCAATGTATTTATTTTAAATTATGCAAGTAAATTATGCTGACTGTAAAATATTCATATAAATATCCCATTTCTCTCTTCAAAGGAATCACAGTTTACTGTTTCTTGTGAAAATATTCAGATTATTTTCTGTGTACATAATGGTATGTAGACATACCATTATATAGTACACAAATCAATATTTTTCTTTAAAATGTCACATTATAAATATTCTACCGACTGATTTTTTCCCTTCCCCTTTAATGTTTCTGTATTCTTCTGGAGAGCTGCATTTGTATTACATTGTATAGGTATGTCTAAGTTTATTAAACATTTCATGAGAGACTTTTGCATTATTTCTTAGCTTTGTACGTGTGTGTGTGTGTGCGCGCGCATGCTTGGGGTTTGGGTTTTTTCCATATTTAGAGTGGATTATTTAATTTTTTGAGTTATGTGGGATATATTTCTAGGCTGGAACATTTACAATTTTGAAGACTGTTGCTGAATATATCTACAGAAGAGTGTAATTTCATGCTTTCACCCACTGCTGTGAGACAGATCTAATCTCTTCTTTTATGAAAACTAAATGTTGTAAGAGTGAATTTAAGCAGAGCATTAAGCAGGGAAAACTTTATTCTTTCAATAAACATCTAGGTACCCAGTATGAGAGACAGGCTTAAATAAACAAAGATGAGGATGGATATAATTTTGCTTTTGTGAAACTATAAGGTAATTTTAAAGACATGAAGGCATCTGAAGTTGAATAAGTATCAGATGACACAATAGCTATGTGTGTATTCATTTATCAGATATTTACTTTGTATGTGCCTAACATAAAGTGCTGTGGTTGGACTGAAATCCTTATAAAGAAATCAAATGAAGTTTTAGAACTGATAGTGTACATTTTAAGTGTTGGGGCAAGGAAGATAGACAAAAAGCATGTAAACATAAAAGTAATTAGTGTCAAATGGCATAAAAATATGTTTTTGTTGTAAATCATAGAAAGATGGTCTTTAATATTTCTTCAGGAAAGTTTTGTGAAACAGTATTATTAACCCTTTTCCTTTATTGAATATAGGATAAAAGAAAGGGACCTATCAATACCGAATTATCGGAAAAAGTGGGTTCAAACTTACCTATTCCTCCACAAGAAAATAAATTAAAAGATGACTACATTGTGGATGTACAAGTAAGCTATTTTGCTCTGATTTTTAATAGTGTAGTCTTTTTAGCTACTTTACAAGATAGAAAACCTCTGTTTTGTCACCATATTGTTTTTTCTTTTTGAATTACCATACAATTAGGTTTCAGCTTCTGAGAAAATGCAAAATTACAGATAAATGTGACATTTCTTTGTCTTAAAATTTTAGTGTAAGTCCTTATTATTTTTTAGGTTCCATTTGGCTCACTATAATGTGTTTTGTCTCTTCATATTTTCATATGGCAGGAAAAATTATTTTTCTATCTTACTATAAAGAGTATATGTGGAACTTAGTGTCTTGATACCAAATTTTTGTCAGTGTGGAATATGAATTAATAAATAACTAATAGGATAAAATGTTTTTTCCTTTTTCTCATATTACATCTCGATATTATTTTCTACTTTGTATACCAGATTTTATGAAAGATCTTTAAAACTAAACCAGAATGTAAGCTGATCAGAATGCTAAAAACATCTGGAAGCCATTTAGTATCAGGAATGACTGATGGAACTGAGAATATTTGATCTGTAAGAAGAAGGACTAGGGAAAAACTAAATATTTTAAAAAATCAAATTTCAACTCAAAATGAGGGAGAATTCTCTTTTTAAAATATAGCTAGAATTATTTTATGACTTAATGGTTTATCATATCTAAGGAGTTATACTGAGTTTCATTTTATTTATCTGGAAGATATTTGTCACAGGTTTGTGTGTAGAAGTAAGAGAAATATAATCTCTGTAGCCCATCCAGTTATATTATTATCCTGAACAGTGTGCCATTGTCATTTGCTAGGCCTTTTATCATGATTTGCTCAAATACTTTGAAGTGCTTACTGCATCTTACAGACATGTACTATTCAGTACAGTAGCCACTAGCTTACATGTGGCTATCAAACACTAGAATTGTGGCTAGTCCAATTTGTGATTTGCTCTAAAGACAAAATATACTCCCAATTTTGGAAATTTAGATAAAGAGAAAAAAATTAATTTTTTAATATTGAACCATGTTGAAGTGATAATACACTATTTTATAATAGTTCTAATAATAGTCTCTAGACCTCTACAATAAAATGCAAACTATTTGCATTGCTTTTGAATTTTTCATTCCAGTACAAATAATTCCCTAACTGATCACATTCTGTATTCTTCTTGCTCTATGCCTTGTGTTTTCCTTCTGCTCACCTATTGGCCCTCCTTTTCTCTAGAGTCCTAGCTCTTCTAGTCTGCCGTAGTTCATAGTCTCTGTTTTCCTTGAACTGAATACTGTTATTCATTTAGTAAGGATTAAATGTCTGCTCTGTGTTAGGTCTATGTTAGACACTGGGAATGTAAGAGAACATAATCCTTATTCAAGGCACTTATAGTATAGCTGAAGACATAAATAAGGGCAATTAAGGTGTTACAGATGCTATGATAAATACCTATACAGGAAACAGTAGAGACGAATAGAAAGGGAATGACTAGTTCCATTTTAGGTTGGTTAGGGAAGAGGAGGTATGCTGGTAGAGGTTTTCAAATATAAGTAGATATTAGGGAGATTTCAGACTTTTTATTTTAGGCAGGTGAATGAATGACTCAGCCATTTAGGATGGGAGCAGCAAGAATCATGTGTTGCTTGATAACGTTAATCCTATATAGCTTGTATTGTTATTGACACCTATTATTTTCCAAACTGCTTAGGGACAAGAACCGTGTGTTTTATTATTTTGTTATTTACATAGGGTTTCTGTTTTACTGCTAGCATTAATTATAATAACAAAGAAATGTTTGTAGGTCCTATAGGAAAGAAGAAAGACATGTTCCTTTGTTCTAGTTTATGTATTGTGGTGAAAAATGCATAGAGCCTGTATTTTAACATGAAGTATATTCTCTGGGGTGGTAATATTAGAAGAAGGAATTTTTATTACTTTTTTAGTGAGCATTCTTTATATTGTCACCTTGGAGACTTTTAAAAATACAATCCTTTTTGGCAAAAGAGATAACTTATTAATCTCCATATTTACTGTAACTGACTTTTTATGAAAAACAGAATACGGAGTCCAAAAAATTAAGTTCATCTGTGGTTAAGACACTCCCTGCAGTTGATCTACATGAAGATTCATCCACTGTAGTTGTGGGCAGTGAAAACATTGAAAATATCTCCAGCTCATCTACCTCAGAGATCACTCCAATTTCAAAGCTTGAGTAAGTTATTACAGAGGGAAAAAAAAGTAATCTCATTACATAATGCTAAAAATTTTCTTTTCAGGGTAAGTCATCTTGGAAGATTTGAAGTTTAGGCTATGTGGCAGACCCAAATTAAAATCCCTGTTTTATGTTATATATTATTTTTTAATTTGTTGAGCTTAAAATAAGTATTTATAAATCTGCCTAACTCAATGAAATTGGTAAAATTTCAGCTATGAGGTTTCCACATCATATATGTAAAGTGAAAATGTATTTGTTTAAAAAACAGAAAATTGAATAAAATAATTTTCCTTATAATTTTCAAAAACTCTTTAAACACTTTAAAACATCTATTTTCATGAATGTAAGGGATTGGATTGAAGGAGTTACACACAAAGATGTTATAGTTACTGTTCAGTAGTTTGTCCCACAAGAAATAAGGGAACAGAAGATAAGTTTAGAAATAATGATTGCATTTAAAATTTTTGAATACCAAATACTTACCCCAGAAAGCATGTAAGACTAGCTGCTATATATCTGGACAGCACATCTTACCTCTCCATAACTTTTTTTTTTTTTTAAAGATTTATTTATTTATTTATTTTTTATTTATTTATACAAGCACTGGGTACAGTCAGAAACGCGGGAGGGTGAGAGAATTCACCAGAGCCAGAGCGGGGAGCAGAGCAGGCAGAAGAACCGAAGTACACTGCTGAGGGGAGCAGCGGGCATGGCAGGAGAGGTCTGCGTGCCATGTGGGACCCTCCTCCGGTGGCCGGGGAGCAGCCGGGGATCGAACCGGTGCTGCAGAGGCTGCGGGCAGCTTCGCAACCCAGTGCTTAACCGCTGCGCCACTGGGGAGGCCCTCTCCATAATATTGAACCTAAATATTTAGTGAAATGGAAGTGAGGCAGGGAAACATATTAGGATGTATATGTTTTTAGATGATATTCTAAAAATGCCTTAAGATTTTTAAATGTTTTGCTGTAATAGATGATTTTCGATATTACAGGCAACTATTCTAATATTGCTATAGTAATAGAAATGAAACATTAGAGAAGATGCATTTTGAACAGATAATTAAATCTTATTTTTGATAGGACCAAATATTAACCTATGATATTTTGTTTTAAAATTTGGTAACCTTTTGGTAACCATTTAGAAACCCAGGACATTAGCAAATCAAGAATCAACAGTATATTTTACATGATTTAAAATAAGTGAATTCTTAAAAACAGTCTGCAGAGCTGTTAAGCATTCTCCTCTGCCTAGTTTTGGAAACCACTAATGTTGATTTCAACTTATGCTATATTATGTCCATGAAATTGCCAGGTTGTCTTTTTCTATTTTTTAGTGAAATAGAAGAACCTGGTACTGTTCCTATAGCCAAGCCAAGTGAAATTGAGCAGTCTGAAACTGATTGTGATGTTGGTGAGGCCCTTGATGGAAATGCTCCAGTTGACCAGCCTGCCTTTGTCAGTTCACCTGAAAGGTGGGTGTCATGTCACTGGTCATGTTTGAATAGACTTTGGTGTATGCTTAATTCATCTTTATTATCAAGAGAATACTGATCTCTTGATGCTCCTTTCTTGATTTACTTCATAATAATTATAATAACTTATAATAGTTGAAATTTTATAAACTCATTAAGCACCTATAATTTGTTTATTTAACATATGTCTTTTGGTTTCAAATAGTCTTGTTGGCCAGCATATAGAAAATGTGTCATCTTCACATGGCAAAGGAAAGATAACAAAATCAGAATTTGAATCAGAAGTTTCAACAAGTGAGCAGCGTGATGGTGATCCAAAATCTGCATTGAATGCTTCAGATAATTTAAAAAATGAAGTAGGTATATAACTCACACTGTCTCCTAGCTTATCATACAGTGGATTTTGTTAGCGAATCTTGTATTTTGCTAACCATATTTGTCATAAAATTAGGGATTAAGTAATTAATGATGAATATGAAAGTGGGGTAAGCTGTGCACCCTAGAATATATTACTACATAGTATTTATTTATACATAAAGTTTTTCCAAATACGAGTTCTCTTTAGTTATATGTAATTAAATCATTTTTCTACCATCACTGACTTTTTGATACCAGATACAGTAAATCCTCTAAGCAATTTTTTAGGGAGATGTATAGAAGAAGCACTATTAAGATTAAGAATTTTTAGAATATAAGGTTAAGTCACCAATACAATGTTAAATTTAAGCTCTTCAACAGAATTATTTTATTTATTTTTTTTTTTTTAAATAGAGGCATGCTTTATTTATTTAGTTTGTTTGTTTGTTTATACATGCACTGGGTACAGTCAGAAGCGCGGGAGGGTGAGAGAATTCACCAGAGCCAGAGTGGGGAGCAGAACAGGCAGAAGGACCGAAGTACACTGCTGAGGGAAGCGGCGGGCGGCAGGAGAGGTCTGCGCGCCATGTGGGACCCTCCTCTGGTGGCTGGGGAGCAGCCGGGGATCGAACCGGCGCCGCAGAGGCCGCGGGCAGCTTCGCAACCCAGAGCTCAACCACTGCGCCACCGGGGAGGCCCAACAGAATTATTTTAAAGGAACTTTGACCTTTCATTATTTGTATGCAGAGTATGCTGCAACTAGACCAGTTTATTTTGAAGAGTGTCATTCTTCCAGGAAAGACAGGGCTCATCCTAGTGAACTGGTTTTGCTTTCTTTTCTGCTTCTGAGTTCTGCTTTGACTTCCTGTACAGGTCAATAAAGAAATATTGACAGAAAAATTTAGGCCATATTCAGGTAAGAAATACCAAAGTAAAACAGATGAAAGCTACTGCATGAATTTTACAAAAGCAAAACATGGGATCAAAGAGTAATTTAAAATTTAGAGTACCATATCCACATTTGTCCCTTTTTATTTTGAATCTTGAGTTCTCTACCTTTTTTTTCACATATTTTCAGTGAATCTGAATTCACAATGAACTAAAATTCATTCTGGAGGCTTACTGTCACTGGATCAGCTGTTTCTGTAATGCTTTCTATAAGTATAGGAACTTAGTATTTCATAGTTCAACATCTTGAAGGAACCAGGTTCCCTTGAAACCAAATCAAGCATATGTTACAGTTCAGTTGTCAAATACTAAAGCCATGAAATTAGACAACCATTACAAAAAGGTCTTCTTTGGAACTATTCAGGTATCAAATGTAAAAATTCAAGCACGGTAGCCAATTTTATCCTAAATTTATTTGTTCTCTTTAACCATGAGCAGAGTAGAGCTGCCCATTATCTAAGGAATTTAAATGATTTATGAGTCTGCTGATAGGCAAAGGGTGGGGTTTTTAATTGTATTATCCTGCCTAAATAAATTAATATCCCAGAAAAATTATATAATGAACACATTATGAAATATCCAGTGGTTTTGTCTGTTATCTAGTTCAGGGTAATTTTGTGTAGCTAAGTTTGTGTGAATGGAAAGATTTTGCTTTCTGATGCAATTCTTTCTTTGTGCTGTCCCTGTTATCTCAAGGATCTGTAAAACACTGTGCCATGTTTATAGATAGTACTTTTTAAGGTGGTTTTATTCTATTGTTTAGTTTTCTTATTTTTTGTTAAGAGGTGACCGTGATTGCTTTGCCTAGGCCTCAAATAATAATGTTTATGTTCCTTTTTCTGTATTTGTGTTTCACTTTTAAGTATCTCAGCTAGCTTAATTTTTATAAATATGTTTCTTGTTTATTTTCTTACTGTATTCAAACTATATTTTTATCATTTAATGTTAAACTTAATGACACTGCTGCTTAACTTTTATTTTCTGCCAGTTGTTTTTTAAGTTATATACATCACTTCATTAAATTAACTGTTCTACAAAACACTCCAGCATGGAGATTGTATGGGAACCGTTTGTCAAGTTTTCCTAAAGAGAAATTAATTACTAGCATTTGTATTAGTTCATTAGTATTTATTGCACTAATATACTGATTAGTATTCAGAAATGTGCCCTAAATAGCTAGTACATACTATGTGATATTTGTGCCTTTTACCAGAGTAAGCTGTTTAAATAGATTTTATATATGTCTCAAGGTGCTTTTAATAAATACATTATACATTGGTTTAGGAATGCAAATAATTAAAAAGTGGAATGAATATCCTTGCGTACATTATTTAGCTTAAAGAAAAAAGTGACATTGAATTTTCTTCCTTTCTGTGATTACATTTCTTCTTTCCTATGTAGATATAACCACTTTGTAACCACCAAAGACTTCCTTTGATTTTTAGAGCATGTTTTTAAATTTTTTCCAAATATGCATTACTGTAAATAGCATACTGTTATTTGGTGAATTTTGAAACAGTATAAAATAGTATCATTCTTAGCTTAACTATTTTGTTGCTTAAAATTTGAGATTTGTCTATTCATTGTTTTTACTATTGTATTTGACTCTGCTACAGTTTGTCTATTTTTCAATTAATAGTTATTTGCTTCTAATTTTGTGATAGTACCGACAATAGGGCAGTGAGCATTCTTGTGCATACTTTCTTACATGTGACTAATGTGTTTCCACTGATATTTATACATAGGAGTAGACTTAATGGGTACTAGAGTATATCTCTCTTTGTTATTTAATATTGCTAAATTTTAAGCTCCTTTTACCAGTGTAATAACTATCCCTATCAATAGGTGTGCCATACTTGTTGACAGAGTTATCACATTTAACTTCCATCAGATTGGTATAATTTATTTGATATCTGATTTTCATTTGTATTACCTGATTATTACTGAGGTTGAGCATTTTTTATTTTCTCTTTGCTGAATTTATTGTCCCCAGCTGCCAACTTATGATTTGTAGGCTCTCTTTATACGGTAGTGAGTAGTTGTAGATACTTTTTTTCAGTGTGGGTTATTGTACCTTGTAGTTTTTGATTTTTTTGTTATGTTTAGTTTTTTATTTTTATCCAGCCAAATGTATCAGCCTTTAAAAACTGAGGTACTTTTCATCTTGTTAAATATTTCATAGCCTGAATCATAAAGATATTTACCTATATATTTTCTTCAAAGTTTAGTTTGTTTTTCAACTTTAATTTTTTAAATCTACTTTAAAATTTTTATGTAAATGGCACTTCTTATTAAGGATTTTGTAAAAATAATATACTGCCTCTAAAATTAGTCAGCTTTTATTTTTTAGCTCTCTTTAATGTTAGGTATTTGACATAACATAGATGCACTACAACTATATAGTATTTATTAATGTGTACAGTTTATATTTGACTAATTTTTTAGGATATAATGTAGGGTGTTTTTTTTTTTTTTTTTTTAAACAACCCATGCTTGTTTTGCTAACTTGTGAGGGAATACATCCTGTGCTACTTAGGTTGAAGGTTTCAATTCTTTGAAGAAAAACATCAATTTTAAGTAAACAGAAACTTCTTCAAATGTATATTACTATGCAACACCACCACCAAAGCACCCATAATCCTATTATAAACAGTGCTTCAGTGAACATATAAGTGTTTATATTCCTTCATAGTGTTTTAATTGTCTTCAGGTGTGTGAACTTCTAGTGAGTCTGAGACCTGGGACACGACGGGGAGGGAAATCAGACATGGGGGACTGTCATGTCCAGCATGCAGCAAATCTTTATTGTCTTAGTGCTCGTTATATACTATTTTAATTGCAGCAGGTGTTAACATCAAAGCATACCATATAATGATAACACATATGAATGATTTGTCTACTTTCTTACTATCATCTATTTACTTCAGACAGTGGGATACCAGGTGGTTAGTTCTCACGCACATAATCTTATCGCCCCCTAGGTAGAGCCTGGGAAGTTCGCTCATTATTTTTGTTATTCTCAGACTGTGGAGATGTAGAGGCCTGACTCCACGCAGGTCACTTTCCAGGCACTCAACACCAAGTCCTGTCACCCAGAGGTTTTCCTCCAAGACGCATGTGTTTTCACATGCCTTAGGGACTCAGGTCAAGGCCCTTCTGCTCACTGCACGGGGTCTCTCCCAACAAGGTGGATATGTAAGAGTGGAATTGCTGGAATCTATGATCAGTCTATCTTAAATATTTTGAGAAAACTCCATGCTGTTTGCCATAAGGGTTATATTATTCTGTATGCCTAACAGTGTACAAGGGTTCCTTTTCACTCCACACCCTCAACAACTTGTGTTTTTTGTATTTTGATATGGGAAATCTCACAGGTATGAAATGGTATCTTACTGTGATTTTGATGGCATTTCCCCTGTGATAACCGATGATGTGTGTTTTTTCATGTGCTTGTTGGCCATCTGTATGTCTTATTTTGAGAATTGTCTAGTTAGTTCTTATGCCCATTTTCTGATTGGGTTATTGTTTTCCTTTGGAGAGCTGGATGAGTTCTATGAAGATCTTGGATGTTAGCCCATTGTGGGATATGTTATATAATATATATATTTATATATAATTATATAAATATGTTTATATTTATATATTTATGCATATATTTATATATTATATTTATGTTATATGCTATTTATATAATATATATTTACATATATAATTTATATATATATTATATAAATATCTTTTCCCATTCAGAAGGGTGTCTTTTAATTTTCATGATAGTTTCTTTGGCTATGCAAAAGCTTTTTGGTTTGATGTAGTTCCCTTTGTTTATTTTTGCTTTTGTTTCCCTTGCTGTTGGAGTCAAGTCCCCAAAGACACCTGAAGTCTGTGCCTGGGAGTATTTTGCCTATGTTACCTTCTGTTTATTTTATGGTTTCAGGTCTTACATTGAAGTCTTCAGTGCTTTTGAGTTAATTTTTGTGTGTAGTGTGAGATGGTAGATAGTTTAATCTTTTGCATTTGACTGTCCATTTGTTCCAAAATCATTAATTGAAGAGACTTCACTTTCTCCACTGTATCCTCTTGACTCCTTTGTCTTAGATTAACAGTCCAAATTTTTTTTTTTTGTACTATCATTCATTATAAAGTTAAACTTTGGTTTGGCGGAAACATTTGTGTTTACTTTTGTAATTTATTAATCTGATTTTTCTGTTTTCTGAAATTTAAAATCTGTTTACTTTTGAGATTCTTCAGAGTTCTGACTATACAAAGCCAGGAGAAATTGACCCTACTTCTGTAGCAAGTCCCAAAGACCCAGAAGATATACCAACATTTGATGAATGGAAAAAGAAAGTTATGGAAGTAGAAAAAGAAAAAAGTAAGGAAGTGGAGATTCTTTTTAACCCCTTTAAGGGATTGGTTAAACATGCATTTTTCCTTTTAATTGGCAGAATAAAGTGAAACTCTTAAAAGCTTCTTAAAGGTTAAAGAACCTATTGATTCATCTGTACTGTGTTATAATTATATACAATTTTAATCTTAAGATTCATTCTTGTAAATTATTAAATGAAGATACTAAAGAAGGAAAAACATTGATTTTTATCTCAATTTATAAGAGGAAAATTGAATCATGGAAATTTCTGAGTCATACAGCTTAAATTGTAAACAGAATTGGACTGTTATATTTTCTTTTTGCCATAGGACAATAAGTTACAGAGTTAAGAATTCTTAATATTGGGGCTTAGAGATTGAAGGATACCATTCATCCTTAATGGAATAAAATGTATATGCAGAAGCTTTGATTCTTATGGAAAAGATTTATTTTGTGAATTACATATAACTTAGACATGGATTTTTCTATTTAATCTGTTTATTGATACTTTAAAGCCATTGGGATGCAGAACTTTGAATTTCTTAGGAATTTTTAAATATCTTTGAAGCATTAAAATCTTTTCTTAAATGGCAACCTGTTGCTTTTGAGATCATTCTGATGCTGTCAGAATGATCAGTCATAAGCACCATGTATATGTTTATAATAAGGTTTGTCTGCAGGTCAGTCAATGCATCCATCTTCTAATGGAGGTCTACATGCTACAAAAAAGGTCCAGAAAAATCGGAACAATTATGCCTCAGTAGAATGTGGTGCCAAAATTTTGGCAGCTAATCCAGAAGCCAAGGTATTTCAAGTATAAAAATCTTCTATACATATAAGAAACTGTCTTTATTAAGTATGAACAGTGGTTTGCTGGAAACTGTATTTTAACATGAGCCATTAATTCACTAATAAATAGAGGATTATGCTTTTAAACACATTCCTTGCATGAATTCTGAGTTATCTTGGTTAATTGTGCCATTTTTTTAAAATTTTCTTGTAAAACTTTTATTTTTTAAAACAATTTAGAGTTCATAGCAAAATTGAGCGGAAAGCAAAAAGTACCCATATACCTCTTGCTCTTGCATTCTCATAGCTTCCTCCATTATCAATATATCCTCACCAGAATGGAACATTGATTACAGGTGATGATGAACCTAACTTGCACATCAATATCACCCAAAGGACATAGTTTACAGTAGAGTTTACTCTTAATGTATGTTCTGTGGGTTTGGACAAATGTGTACATGTATCCACATGTATTCATATTATAATATTACACAGAGTATTTTCACTGTGTAAAAATCCTCTGTGCCTCACCCTTCACTGCCTCTAAGCCCTAACAACCACTGACCTTTTTATTATCTCTGTAGTTTTTGTCTTTTCCAGAATGTCATATAATTGGAATCATTCAGTGTGGAATATTTTGTGTTCCTTTCACTCAGTAAAACGTATTCAGGTTTTGTCTTTGTCTTTCATGGCTTTATAGCCAGATTCTTCTTGGTTTGGAATGATAGTTCATTGTCTGGGTGTATCACAGTTTATTCACTGACTAAAAATCATGTACCATTTTTTTAAACTTTTAAAATCTGTGAGATTTTAAAATGGAAATAATAGAAAATCATTTTTTCTTAGTAGCAACAGGCATTTATTGAATTTTAAATATTTTATTTTCTAAACAAATATTTTGTTATGGTATTATAGCTGTAGGTAGTAAATTTTAAAATTTATTTATTTATTTATTTATTTATTTATTTATTTATTTATTTATTTATACAAGCACTGGGTAAAGTCAGAAGTGCGGGAGGGTGAGAGGATTCACCAGAGCCAGAGCGGGGAACAGAACAGGCAGACTGATGAAATACACTGCTGAGGGGAGCAGTGAGCGCAACAGGAGAGGTCTGCGCGCCATGTGGGACCCTCACCGGTGGCTGGGAATCGAATAGGCGCTACAGAGGCTGCGGGCAGCTTCGCAGCCCAGTGCTCAACCGCTCCGCCACCAGGGGAGGCCCGGTAGTAAATTTTAATGACTTTTATGCTTTTACCTCAAGTAAGTATTTCAGAGTCTTAAGTATATTTTTTAGATCAAAATTACAGTTCCTAGAAAGCTTTAGAGTTAAAATAAATATTTTTCCTCAAGTAATATATGCCCTTCTCCTTTATAAAAATAGAGCACATCTGCTATACTTATAGAAAATATGGATCTTTATATGTTGAATCCGTGCAGCACTAAAATTTGGTAAGTAATATAAAATTTGATAAAGCACATTATGTTAAGCTTCTCTGTTAAGATTAGGCTGATTTGTTTGTTACTACCTAATAAGCTTTTATGATTGTTTAGTGCCATCACTGTACTTATCTTAGGCCCTAGATACAAAATTGAAGATAAAATATCTTTCCTTTTACAGAAGTCACAAAAAATGACAGTGAAACAATTATGAAATAGTATAAAAAGTACAGCTAAGGTGTGTACTATAGGAGCAGAGATGTTATGTAACTACAGGAGAGAATGAGAGAGGGCTTTCTGAAAGAGGTAATTCTTGAGCTGAATCTTGACAGTATCATAGAAAGGAAGGCAATATATTTATGATCTGTGAGAATAAGGGGCACTAATTAAATGAGCATTTTTCTTCTGGGCAATTAGACAAAATCTGAAGTTATTTTAGACATGATAAGAATAAAGATGTAACTAGAGTAGTGGTAGGAGAGTTTTAACAATAATTAGGCCATACAATTCTATGTATATCCAGATTAAATTTTTGAAGTTTATTTTAGAGACTATGGACAGCCTTGTTTATTTAAATGAGGAAGTGATATGATTGTACTGACATTTTAGGAATGGCTCTTTTTTTTTTTTTTTAAAGATTTATTTATTTATTTATACAAGCACTGGCTACAGTCAGAAAAGAGCGGGAGGGTGAGAGAATTCACCAGAGCAAGAGTGGGGAACAGAACAGGCAGACTGATGAAACACACTGCTGAGGGGAGCAGTGGGCATGGCAGGAGAGGTCCGAGTCATGCCGTGTGGGACCCTCGCTGGTGGTGGCGCCTCAGATACTGTGGGCATCTTTGCAGCCCAGTGCTCAACCGCTGCGCCACCAGAGGAGGCCCGGAAAGGCTTGTTTTTAAGGTGTGCAGTTATAGCAGAAAATGCAGTTGAAAATTGTGCTATATTTATACAATGAAATATTACTCAGCAATCAAAAAGACAAACTCATGCCATTTGTGGCAACATGGATGGAGCTTGCAGGGATTATGCTTACCAAAATAAGTCAGAAGGAAAAAGATAAATATCGGTTGGTTTCACTTTCATGCAAAATATAAAGAAACTGAACAGAATTTCAAGAAACAGATACAACTAGCAAGCTAAGCATCGATCTGAGGAGTAATACATTAAGGAAGGGGAAGGAAGGAAGATCAAAACAGGGGAGGGAAGAACACGAGAAAATACAGTGAGGGAAGAAACCAATTATACTAAAATGAACAATAATATAGGAAAATTTAAAAAAATAAAATAACAAAGCAGAAAAAAGAAAAAGAAAATTTGGGAAATGAGTTTGGAATCTGTTATTATAGTTAAGATTTAAAACAGCAAATTGTATTGGCAGTTTTCATAGAGAGGAGAAGGGGCTATATCTGAAATTATTTTCAGCAGGTAAAATTAACAGCTCTTGGGTAGTAATTGGATATGAAGAAGACATAGGCATTTAGGAAATCTCCCAGGATTTTGGCTTTACCAGGATTTTGGCTTTACTACTTGGATTTATGACTCTGCCATTAAATAAGAATGTAGAAAAAGGGACCGGTTTTTAAAGAAATAATGTGTGATATACCAACAGTCTTATTAGATTACTTGATTTCATTGCTGAAAATTTTCAGTTTTTATAATTGAATAGTTTATAGTATTCTCTTACTGTTTAAAAATCTCTTCTGTTTTAAAGATCCTTTCTTTTAAAAACTTCCTAATATCTTAATGTATGCCCCCTCTTTTAATCACCATATAAATTTTTCTAATTTGGCTTTATTGATTACCTCTTCCATGTTTTTTTCTTTGTTCATGAATTTCAGCTTAAATTTTTGTTGTTTCATGTTTCATTAGGTTTAGTCCATTGAACTTAAAGATTGTTTTAATTTGCTAATAGACACATTTAAGGTTCTAAGTTCCCTTAATTGTATCATCTAAATTTTGATAGGTAGCATTTTATGAAACTACTTTTGCATTTAGAGCTGTTAATTTAACTGATCTTTTAAAATGTCTGGCCTATAAATAATAAGTGTATTGAATTGTATTTTTGACCTTTTATGTGTGCTATTAATTTGCATGCAATATTTTGTGTTTCTAAGAAAGCATAAAAGATATAACAAACATTTAAAAGTGAGTTTTAATGAAGGATAATTACATATTAATATTTTATATATTGTGAGGCTTTTTATTAGGTGCATGTAGTTTTAGAATGGTTAAATTTTCCTGCTGAGTTTTGCCAGTTAAGACATTTGTCTGAAAGCTTATTTTATCTGATACTAATATAGCTCATTTTTTCTTCGAAATGGAGAACATTATATACATAAAAGGAGGGTGTCAGGATTCACTTTTTATTTTCATTTTTATCCTGTTTTATATTTATTTTTCCATTGTAAATAAAAACCAGAGGCTGAGTGATTTTTCTCCTGGAGCCATCTCTAGGATGTTGTGGTGGTCTGAAAATGTTTATGTTTTAGAGTCACCCAGATTTGTAGTCTGATTTTAACTTCAATATTTATTGCCAAAATATCTGTTAGGACCTTTGATTCTGTTCTTCTAACAGAGACCAAATTGTGGTTTAAATAAGATAGACACTTCATTTTCTCTGACATAAAAACTCAAACTGATAGGTGATACAAGACATAACAGAATAATTGAAGAAACTGTGTACTTTCTGTTCTTCCCTGCATTGCCAAATTGATTTATTCCTACCACAGCCTCACTCCTGAGGGAGTGAGGGAAGAAGCATAAGGAGAGTTAGTAGCTTCCTTTTAAAGGCTTGACCTGGAAGTTGCTTTCCTTATATTTTTAAGCGACTAACTTAATAAATGTCTAATTTGTTTGGACTGTTAATGTCATGTTTAATATATACTGTTACTTTTGTTTATCTAAATAATTGTCCTGTTTTCTTTCTGAAGGTTTGTTATTGAACTCTGTGAACCAATTCAAGTAAAACAGCTTGATATTGCAAATTATGAATTATTTTCTTCTACTCCTAAAGACTTTCTGGTTTCCATCAGTGACAGGTAAAATCAATCATTTTATTTTTTATTTTAAAGTATTGATTTGTAAGAATAGTAGTACTACCTGTATAGTGCAGTCATTTGCTAATCAGTTTACTTTCATTAACTCATCTGGTGCCTTATACCAAACATAAAGATATTTCCATGTAAGATGAGGAAGCAGTCAAGGAGAGGTTAAGTAGCTTGCTTAAGTCCCATGACTTGTGAGTTGGAGAACCAAGACCCAAACCTAGTTCTATACGATTTCAGTGTCCCTCCTTTTGATGATTATGCTCTGTTTCCAAACATTTCCTCTAAAAGTTATTAAAAACAAGCATGGGTACTTCATTTTGTATTATGTGGTATATTTTTTGTGAAATTATATTTCAAAACTTTATTTCTTGTGTGTGACTATGAAAGAAGTAAATATACATTGTAGGGAATTTGGTAAAGAACTACAATCCTGTTAACCAGAGATAAATTAACATTTTTAATATACTCCTTTCAGTCTTATGTTTATTTACTAATTCTACAGATATAAACATTCAGTTCTTACAGCTTATATCCTGAGAATATCCTTTTATCTTTTAAAAACATCATTTGTAAGTACTTACTGTTTTCCTCCCAGAGGAGGTGTTTATTCATTCCATAAATACTTTTTGAGTGCCCATGATATGCCATGTAGAGTTGTTACTTCTTTATCTATTCTTTCCATGGTATTTCTTCCTCCATCCCACACTCAGCATTGCATTGGTTTTTGAAATCAATTCTCAAGACCTCTTGAGAATGCCATCCCTTCCCCCCAACCACTAATGGTTTTAGGCTGTTATATTAGATTTCCTTTTAAAGGGGGAGAGGGGTCCTCTAAGCCTTGTAAGATCTATGAAATGTAAGTATCATGATAAAGAGTTATTTTTTGGTGATTGATATTTCTGTTTACACCAGTATTTATACTTTTTATTTTCAGACATTTGTCAGTATATGAAGAATAACATACTTCCTTCAAAAAGTGATCTATTAATTGTTTTAAAACCTCCGTCTACGTGGAAGCTCTCTAAACCCCAAGATAGCAGTCCTGGTCTTATTTTTATCTTTTCCTGTTTTTTTCCTTCTGTTTGATTGTGGTCACTCTTCAAGATAGTTTCTCCTGTAAAGAGGAACCTATCAGTTTAGTTGGAAAAGAAAATGTATTTATTCAACTCAACATTTAACTTGTATTTAAACTATGTTAAGTGAATAATGCATTTACGTGAAGAGGAAAAACATTATACAGGTGGTTCTTTTTTTGTTTTTTGTTTTTTTTAAAGATTATTTATGCATACAAAAACTGGGGTACAGGTGGTGAGAGGATTCACCACAGACAGTGGGGAACAGAACAGGAGGATTGACAGAAATACACAGCTGAGGGTTGCTGCGGGCAAGACAGGAGAGGTCTGCGCCATGTGGGTTGTTCCCTGGCTGGCATCAAACTCGTGCTACAGTGGCTGTGGATAGCTTCATAATACTGTGCTTAACCCCTTGCACCACCAGGGAGACCCATACACAGGTTGTTTTGAGGGTGATTTTTGTTATGATATTTTAAAGTAATATTTACATTTTATATTTTCTAGATATCCCACAAATAAATGGATTAAGCTGGGTACTTTCCATGGTAGAGATGAGCGGAATGTCCAGAGTTTCCCTTTAGATGAACAAATGTATGCAAAATATGTGAAGGTAATGTTTACATATACAGGCCTATGTTCTATAATGAAAACATGCCTCACCCCCACCTGTTTAGAAATAAGAAAAATTAATTTCTGTATTCACTTAGTTATACAATTCTTACGTAGACATATTGTTATGCAAAAAATACTAATTCAATCCTATTTATATATAACTGAAAACCAAGGTCAGTTTTTGATATTTGTGACTGATGAAATTCCAAATTATGACTCTTAATTTTCCTTGAGTTTTAATAAAAAATGCCATCTTTATAGTATTATATTTCTATTTCAAAACCCAAACATTGTGAGTCATTGAAGTCTTTAATGGAAGTCTGATTTCTTAAATTAGAATCTGATGTTTAGATTCCTATTTTAATATCCAGTTTTTTATTATTATGACTTTTGCCTTTTCTTTTGTATATTCAAGTGAAATGTTCTTTGTCCAAATACAAATTTCAAATAAAGTTTTGATTAAACATTTATAGTCAGTATTCCTGCTGCTTCCTCTCTTTGTGGGGGAAGAATTATCTGTCAAAGTAGAATTATCACAAAGTATAAAAACGTCCTACTCCTTCCCACTTCTTTTTTCTTGCAAATATAATAATATCCATGTCTTCAAGTACCACTGTGTTAATAATGAATTTTTGGAGTGGCAGCAGTTCTAATTTCTATCTTTTCTTCTTTAAATGTGAAAACTTTAACTGATTATCTTCTGAGATTTTACTATCTGTGTCTTTTTAAAGCATGTTTTAAATTGGCTTTTATGAATGGGTAAACTTGTAGTATTCCTAGTCTTGGTATAAATATTCTCAGTTAATGATGATTCAGTAGGGTTCAGAAAAATGAAGGTATATTTTCAGTTTTTTTAAAAGGAATACTGAAAGAATTCTTTAGTGGCCTTTTTATTTAGCATAGATACAACACTGAGAAAAAAACATTTAAATTATTTGGTGATATAGTTGTATTTAATTTTACAGTTACAGCAGCTCACATGTTGTGATATAGTTTCAAGACTCATTCTTTATACTATCTGTGTTATTAACAAGGGAAGAACATTTTATTGGTGCTGTAAAAAAATAAATAAAACTCCCTACTTGTCCTTTTAATGGTTGAGAGGTATAGAACATTTGGTAATTAGTGTTCTAAAAAACCCTTTTTGATAGAATTTAATCTAAAAAGCAAAAAAAAAAAAAATTTTCTGATTCTTATTTTAGAGGAATAAAAGTTACTTAAGTTTTCCTGGTGTTTCCAAAAGAGTTAAACCTAGATTTGCAAACCACTTTATTAGCTTACATTTTAAAGGTGGATTGCTATATATCATCTAATTCTGTAAATTATAGTTGAAATGACATAGCATACCAGAACTTCATGTTTTCCCTGAAACAGTTTGTATACGGTATCATACAAGAATAAACATCAATAAATATTTCATATTGTGCTAGTTATTAATCTTATCAATATGTATATATGTGTATCAATACAAATTCATGTATAGATATATATACACATGATACACATCTATAATATTTAAAATAAGACACAAGTTGTCTGGATAATTGTTATTATCTTCAGAGTGCTTTCATATCTAACACATAAAACAACAGCAGTGGTTTTTAAGTTATTTAACTTACTAGCTATTTATTTCATTACTTTAGGCTCTACTTTTTAGTTGTGATGGTAAAAATTTAAATCATTGGTTTGATTTCTGCAAAGAAATGAGTACTACAATGTTATCCATCACTGTATATTGCTTTCTATACTTTAATTATACAATATAATTTACAAATATTAAATGTTGCTTATGGCATGTTATCCAGACTTTGAAACTGATTTCTTTTTCTTTTCCTTTCTCTTGCTTCAGATGTTCATCAAGTACATAAAGGTTAGCAACCTTCTCTTTTGCAATATTGAATAATAAGGCATGGCATATTACTGCATGGCAAAAAACGCAAAACATTACAAGTATTGATTTGGGGGGAAATGAGGACTTTATTTTTAGAAATGTTGCAGTGAAAGAAACAGGAAATTGCTAGGTAATCTTACATGCATTATTGCTGGCTTCCTGTTTCATGTGCTTTTATTCTTTAGGTGGAGTTGATATCACATTTTGGATCAGAGCACTTTTGTCCATTAAGCCTCATAAGGTAATATAGAGCAAAATATATTTACAGTGTTTAAAAAAAAAGAGTAAAATCCCAATATATGAAATGAAGAAATAATTTCTGTTATGTGAAGCTAATAATATTTTTTAGAAAAATATCAGTTTCTTCTGTTAAGAAAGAATAATGTATTTGGTATAGTTTGTTTGCTATTTTGCTATGATGATAATGTATAGAAACATTTTAGACTGATACCAACTTTGGTCATTGTATTTTTAAATGTATTAAATAGATTAAGCTTACATTTAATGGAAGCTGAACTGCATTGTAAGGAACAGTTAAGAGTCTAAAAGCTAGTGGATCTCAAAACATGACCAGAGCTAATGTATTTTGTCATTTTTTGTGTGAAGATGCGTTTAATAACTCTATTTTGTTTTAAAAGTCTCTAATGACATTGTTTTTAATAGGGTATTTGGCACTAGCATGGTAGAAGAATATGAAGAGATTGCTGATTCCCAGTATCAGTCAGAACGTCAAGAACTGTTTGATGAGGACTATGGTAAGTGACTTTAACATGGATGACTATTGTGTATATTTTTTTTATGCTTTTTAAAATATGATACTTATGAGTCAATACAAATCATTTTAAAAAACTAATTAAGATGGTTGTGTTTTTATTTTAGTTTTTTTCATGGTTTTTTACGCTAATTAAGTTTTCCTTAAAGCTACTTTCTAAAATGATTTTTCTGTTTTTCAAATCAAGTTGTTTTCCAAGCATGTTAATCAGTTTATGACTGGAGCCCCATTTCATAAAATCAGAACTGTAAGTTATGATTATATCCCTATGCCAGGTCCAAAAGGTCTATTATACCTATAACATAATTGAAATAATAGAATTGAGTGCTAAATCCTTTGATTACCAGAAGCTAAGAGCCAAGCACATTGAAACCTGAGCCTTTCAGAAACTCTTTAGAGCCTGATGGGATAGGAAAAGGTCTTATGCACCCTCCATTTCAAATTTTTAAGTCCTTGTTTTTTTTTGTTTTTTTTTAAGATTTATTTATGGATACAAAACTAGGGTATAGGCCAGAGGGGTCGGGGGGATTGGTGAGAGGATTCCCCAGAGACAGAGTTGGGAATAGAACAGGCATATTGACTGAAATATACTGCTGAGGGGAGCAGCAGGCGAAACAAGAGAAGTCTGCTGTGCCATGTGGGTTATCTCCCTGGCCAGGGATGGAACTCATGCTGCAGTGACTGCAAATAGCTTCTTAAGTGCTGTGACTTAACCGCTTACGCCACCAGGGAGGCCCTCAAGTCCTTGTTTTAAGATGTCTTAAACCAGTTGAAAAATCTAAATTTTTCCTTCTGTAGTTTTCCAGTAAGTGAAATGAATACATTTACTGGGAGGTGGTAAAATACCTTGAAAGCTTGAATGAAAGTTTCATAATATGATTAAAATTTTGATGAAGTTACTTTCCTTGGTTTACATCTGTTTGCTTGATAAATGATTTTTGATCTCTTTTTTTTAACATGTTGTAGGACTATAATGAGTATTATGAGATTTGAATGTCAGCTGACTTTGGCAAGCCATAACTTCAGCTTTTAAATGTATTATTATTATATTTAGTTCTCAGCATAATCACCTTCATTTTCTCATGAAACAGACTATCCACTGGACTATAATACTGGGGAGGATAAATCCTCAAAAAACCTCCTTGGATCTGCTACAAGTAAGTATTTTAGGTTTTCCTAGTCACTGTTAGAGTGTTTCTCAACTTTTTCCCCCTGATGTGTGTGGTCATTTTGTTGTGATATGGTTTGGGGAGGCTCGTATTCCCATTGTTGAACTTTGAATAGAAATGAAAAATACTAGGTTTTGAAAAGTATTCCTATGGAAATAAAATAGGAATGGTAGATGAAAAAAAAGAGAGGGAAAGTGCTCCATAAATTGTGTACTTCTGTTCTAAGAATTTCTTTTTTTTTTAATATAGAGGCATGTTTTATTTATTTATTTGTTTGTTTGTTTATACATGCACTGGGTATAGTCAGAAGCACGGGAGGGTGAGAGAATTCACCAGAGCCAGAGCGGGGAGCAGAGCAGGCAGAAGGACCGAAGTACACTGCTGAGGGGAGCAGCGGGTGGCAGGAGAAGTCTGCACGCCATGTGGGACCCTCCTCCGGTGGCCAGGGAGCAGCCGGGGATAGAACCGGCGCCGTAGAGGCCGCGGGCAGCCTCGCAACCCAGCACTCAACCGCTGTGCCACCAGGGAGGCCCTGTGTACTTCTGTTCTAATTAAGAACTTATTTTTGCACAAATTTCTTTTTTTTTTTTTTTTTTTTTTTTTTTTTGTGGGACCCTCGCCGGTGGCCAGGGAATGAACTGGCACTGCAGAGGCTGCGGGCAGCCTCGCAGCCCAGCGCTCAACCACTACACCACCAGGGGAGGCCCCTGCACAAATTTCTTAGAGTAAATAAAGGGCTACAATTTGTCTGAAGAAAGAATTGTTAAAGCACTCCTAGGTCGTATGAGTAAGAACATGTAGGTGCCTCATATCAGGTGGGTAAGGAATTTGAGTGGTAGTTTCAGGAGTGGTATGCATCAGTGAAATTCTAGGAAAGGAGAATTCTTTAATCTATGGATATGGCTATATTCCTCTTACATTACCAAAAGAGGTAATTAGTGTAATAATGATCCCCAAGCAACAGTAAAAATAGTGATAATAATATACTCTTTGTAAACTAAAGAAACAATCACTAAGATGCTAGTTGTTTAGTTTCTTGACTTCTAACATAGTTATTTAAGCTTAGTGGAAGGCTTGCTATGGAGACTCCTGGAAAGTCTGGTACTTTACCAACTTGTACTTTATTTTTATTGTTGTAATATATGTATGTACATTTGAATGCTTGCTATTTGTATTTGCAAAGAGTATGACACTGACCATAAGGAGTTTGGTTTTGTTTGTTTTTTTTTTTGAGATTGAAAATTGAATTTCAAGGAAGTAAATCTTAGTAAAGTAGAAAAGTAGTTGCTTATGCATTTCCCTTGTTGCTCTTAGTGACTTGAATTGCCGAATTTAGCCTTACTATATGCACCATCTATAGCTTTTTAAGATATTCAAACAGTAATACATGTACTTAGGTAAATATTTTGCATGGCTATGGTATATGAAGTTCAGAGTCATTTCCCTCTCTTTATATCCCTTTTTGCATTTTTTCTCTTCCATAGAAGACAGTAGACTTCAGTGTACTTTTTTAAGAAATAGGAAGAATAACATTAAAAATACCTGGATAAAGGGAATCCTTTTATATAATATTTAATTTTTTTACATATTATATATTTTTATTTTGTTCTATTGCTAGTCAGTAGACTTTAGATAATATTGAATCCTTTAAAGTAAGAGCTATTGTTATCTTGCTGATAATGGTATTAAAAATAGGTGCTTCATTCACTGCAATGGATGTCATTGTTTAGGTATAAAAGATGCTGCTATATCTATCTGAATATTAATGTTTGTGCCCTTAAATTTGTGTTTATAAAGTTCATTGTGTAATAGCCACCATTCTTTGCATATATGCCAGCTCTAGTAGCTCCTCTCTCTGATTCTTTTGTTTGTGTTCTTGAACTAAAATATTATAATATTTTGGCTCAATAAGAAATCTTTATATCACTCTGCTATCTTTGAACTTGTCATGTGGATTTTCCAGATCATTCTCTACTTTGATATTATTGCATACCTGCCTGTACCCCTACTAAAGACCTGTATTTTATTAGAAGTTCCAAATCAAGTCCAGGTTTTAATGCATATGTTTAAGATAAAATATAATATTTGTTTTTTTAACTACTTTTAAGTATTTTTTTAATAAGTGTATGTATTTTAAGTCCTAGAAGAAAAAGAGAGAATGTGAGCATGCTTCAGAGATAGCTGAAGTATTTATTTTTGTTTGTTTATCTTGTGTTGTAGTTTAGGTAATTTGTTTTCTCTATCAAAAAAGAACTGTTAGTGTACTGGAGATTGTCTAAAGCATGAAGATAAGCTAGGAGGAATAGTTGCCTAATACAAAGATTAAAGAGTTTGCTAATTGAGGAGAAACTAGGAACAGAGATCTAGTTAGATACTGTATACCAAATTATTAGTATAGCCTACCTGAAGACTTTGTAGTGATCAGATTGTCACTGTGACAGGCTGATATGTATTCGGATACAAAATATGAGTGTTCAGATTAGAATATACACAGTCCTGCTTTCCCTTAAAAGACAAGAAAAGACTACATTTTTCAGTGTTCCATGAACAATGCAAAATTATTTTTTGTCGGTTAGATGGGCTGAGAAAGTAAAAATTTTCCCCAAATTTTTTATTAGAAGGTAGTTCTCTGAAATGATTTTTAAATGGATAGTATAAATTTTCCCTTCTTTGTAGGTACTAGTATTAATATTTAGGTTAAAAAATAGTGCTCTAAAGCCTCTTTATTTACACATGATAATTGGTGTGATCTTTACTTGAATTCTTTAAATAGTGAGTGCCAAAATTTTTGAAATATGAGGTTAGATCACCCTTTGAAATACAAGCACTTGGGTAAAGACTAAGATTACAAATCTGGGTTTTGTCAAGTAGTCAGGTTTGATCAGCTTTAGCCAGCAGGCTGAGTAGAAGATCACATACCACTAATTGAAATATTGGTTGGCATTTAAAAGTGGGTTTTTGAGGAAGTAACAGTTTTTCTTGCTACTTTGTCTTGGTTTGTTAAAAAAAATATGAAGTTTCCTTTCCTGTTTTTATCAGTGCTGAGGTATCTGTTTCAGAACCGAGACCACTTATGTTTACCAATTTGCCAGGTCAAAAGGCAAGGTTGACTTATAAAATTGAACATTTTAAAATGTCGGATATAAAACTTGAGTATATTTTACTAATGATTGCAAACAAGGCCTTTCAAAGCATAGGATCATAGTTCTGTAAAGAGCAAAATAATGTCTACTGGTTATCACCTTTAACCTAAACTCTCCTACCCCACAAGCATATATTTACAGGATCAGCTCCAGATAACAATGCTTAGCCCCTTTCCAACTTTCTTCATGTATTAGCTTGTCCTCTTTTGGATCCTTTCCTACTTTTCACATCAGTGGTTTTTTTGGTGTGTGTTGAAAAAAATCCTATGGCTCTCTTCTTGGAGAGGAGACTAAGATACAAATAGATGGGCCTCCCCTGGTGGCGCAGCGGTTGAGCGCTGGGTTGCGAGGCTGCCCGCAGCCTCAGCAGCGCCAGTTCTATCCCCCACCACCGGCTAGGGTCCCACCAAAAAAAAAAAAAAAAAAAAAAAAGGATACAAATAGATGATGATGCTTCATACATAGCCTCTGACAAGCCTTAGTATTTTTTTTTAAGATTTATTTATTTATGCATACAAGAGCTAGGGTACAGGCCAGAGAGGCAGTGGGTGAGAGGATTCACCAGAGCAGAGTGGGGAACAGAACAGGCAGATCTACAGAAATACACTGCTGAGGGGAGCAGTGGATGAGACAGGAGAGGTTTGCTGTGCCATGTGAGTTACCTCCCTGGCCGGGGATCAAACTCTTGCTGTGGTGGCTGGCAATAGCTGCATTTTAACCCTTTGCGCCACCAGGCAGACCGCAAGCCTTAGTATTTTAATAGGAGAAATACCTAATACTGATGAAGTAACTTTCAGTGAAACTTCAGAGATTACATGGGGGGTAGAAGGTAATTTCCCTTGAAGTTATATCATATTCCTGGTGGGAATCATCCTGTTCTCAGCATGAGCTGGTTTGATTTCTGCTCTTTTATGGTCCTCCTCTTTTATATAGATTAAGGTTTGTGCCACTTCAGTCATCATCCAAATACCTTCTTTGGAAAGAGGCAAAATTAGCAGATATGCAGTTTGCTTTTTACCTCCTACACTTAGAGTTTCGTAACTTTGAGGTTTAATTACCTCATAACTGTATCCACCCAACTCGTGAAAAAATTTGTGTATTTTATTGTCCATTGTTAAATTTAATCTAATAAATTTAATTATAGGCAATATCAATTTGGGATTTAATCATAATACCAATAGATATTATGTGTTCATAAAACAAAATCTGCTGTCCTTTGGATAATTTCCCCTTTTTTTGGTTACCTATGATTATTACCTGTTTAGGAAAAAATTTTTGTTTCTTTAACCTTTCGAACCTTATTAAAGAAAAACAAACTTCTCTGTGAAATATGAATTTTGGACATATTTCTTCCTTGTCACAATACTATGTTGAATTATATTTGAATATTTATGATATACTAAATATAGCATTTTGTTTATACATTTTGGGAAGCTTTATTATAAAAGTACATTTTAATTTTCAGTCCTTATGAACATAAAAATTGAGATTTATGTTTTATATCTTTTGGCTGAAATTTGTGTCCTGTATTTAAGTAGCAGGTGATTTAACTTTAGTCCAAAAATGCAAAAAAAGGACCATTACAAATGGTTTCTTGATTTTCTGATATTTTTATATGAGACTATTTAGGTGTATTGGTATTTTTCTCTGATTGAATTTTGTTTTAGATGCCATTCTAAATATGGTGAATATTGCCGCTAATATTCTGGGAGCAAAAACTGAAGACCTAACAGAAGGTACCTAATCATTTTATGGGTCTTTGAAATATCTGATAATTCAGGGTTCTTTCTTACTAAGAAAATTAATAAAGCTTACATTATCACGCAGTTTTTTTTTATTTAGAAATACTGAAATGTTCCAAAGGAAATTAGCTATCTTATTATTTATTATTTAAATTACACAAATTCTCTTTTATAATAGGATCCTGTTTATGTAAATTCAAAATTTGTATTTTGACTCTTCCCTATTGTCAAAGTAGTGATTTTACTCCTTATTTCTTTACTGAGGTTTTGATAACCAGTAATACTTCAACTATGTTTTCCTTTTATTTTTTGAGATATTCCATTTAGAAAGAGGGTTTATTTTCCCTTAATGAGTGCCAAACAAGAATATTATTAACAAGGAGAAACAATCTTGCCTTTATTTTAAAAAATTACTTAGTTCTAAGAGCAAACTTGAAATGACCTGTTTATTTCTTCTTATTCTCTTTATAACTTCAGGTCTAGAAAACATATTAATCATGTAATATTACATAAAATTCATAGTTATGTGAGTTTAATTATCTGAGAAGTTGGAAAAGAATATGCATTAGTTGTAGTTGTGACCTTTTACAATCAATACTTACTAAAAGAACTGATAAAAAAAGTCTTCAATAGTAAACCTAATTGACATTGAATTGACATTGAAACTAAGTTTTTTGTTAAAATGAAATGTTTTATGGTATAGCTTTTTAAAATTAAACTCAAAATGGGCATCTTTTTTGAAATAGGAAATAGAAGTATATCTGAGAATACCACTGCCACAACTACACCTAAAATGCCTGAGTCAGTTCCTGTTTCAAGTCTTGTTACAGCACCTGAGTAAGTTATATTGTATATTAGAGTTTTGTTAAAATAGAGAGCTATCTATACTAGCATATGAAAAGCTACTTGTGATTTGTATGTGAAATGATTATCTATCCAAAGCTCTGAATCATAGGAAGGATGTTTCAGTTTTCAAAACAGCTTGGTACAAGGTACTTTGTTTCTTGGTACTAGGAATATACTTCACTCTAAACCAAATGTTTGTCATATTGATATTATGTATTACTTTACATTTCCCAACACTGAATCCTTATTGCAAATAATTGACCTCACACTGTAAGTATAGATTTGAGGACAAATATAAAAGGCCTGTAATTTGAAAGCATTGATTAAGTATCTGTGCTATGCCTAGAAAAAGCTATAAAGGGTGCCTGAAATACTTAAACAGTATAGGGGGTGAGTGTGGGAGGGAAAAATACTCTTCTCTCTGAAGTAGATAATCATGTGTGTGTTTAATGCCATATTGGAATTATTTAAATAATCCTTGGAAAAATTACCTTTCAGAATCCTAGCTGCCTTTTCAGATAGGATAGTCAAGCAAAAAGTACATTCATAAATATTAAGAATTCTGATTCTGGCTGTGAGACTTAATAGTCCTTAGGTGGCTTAGTTTCTGATACAAAGAGTGATGAAGCTTATAAAGATTTTAGGTAGATTTATAGGAAGAAAGGTATGTGATATTTCAGTAAGTATCTTAAACATTATAAAAACACAAGTTTGATTTGTTAAATATTGTGGTTTCAGTCTCTCAAATGTTAACTGATAAATGGTCCTCTGTTACCATTTCTGAACAGTTTTTGTCTTTATGATGAAAATGATTTGAAGGGGAAATATTCATCAAAAAATAATTTGTATTTCTTCATTTTTGGTCTTTTGTCTTCTGTGTGAAATATCTATAATAATTTTAACTTCAGATTTCTAGTTAAAGTGATTTATAATTAAGATATATAATTTTAGGTTTGTAACCACTGAAGAACACAGAGAAGACATAGAGGTGTCATCACCAGATATTCCGAAAGAGAGTCCCATTGTACAACTAGTTCAAGAGGAAGAGGAGGATGCAAGTCCATCCACAGTGACACTTCTGGGTAGCGGTGAACAAGAGGATGAGTCATCACCCTGGTTCGAGTTAGAGACACAAATATTTTGCAGTGAACTCGCTACAATTTGTTGTATTTCTACTTTTTCGGAATACATATATGAATGGTGTTCAGTTAGTGTTGCTTTTTATCGGCAACGCAGCAGAACTGCTGTGAATAAAGAAAGAAATGATCTTGTGTCATTTCAACCACCATTACTACTTCCTGCAGGGTCAGTAGATGTTTCAGTATTGCAACCTCAAAGTGAAGAATTGAATAGTAAGAGTAAGGAAAATGAAGCTGAAACTATTGTTGGAGGTGACTTAAGTAGTATGGGCCAAGGTGATTTGACTAATCACACTATAGATGCAATTGAACTTGAACCAAGCCATCCTCAAACTCTTTCTCAGTCTCTTCATTTAGATGTTACTCCAGAAATCAATTCATTATCTAAAATAGAAGTATCTGAGTCTATTAAATATGAGACAGATCCTATACCATCACAGGTGGTTCCCCAAGAGGGTTTTGTTGAGGTTGATAATGAAACAGAAAAGAAGTCTGTGAGTTTTAGTTCTATAGAAAAACCAGCTGTGATCTATGAAACAAGTAAAGTTAATGAAGTAATGGATACTATTGTAAAAGAAGACGTAAACTCCATGCAAATTATCACAAAGCTATCTGAAACAATAGTGCCACCTGTAAACACACCTACTGTACCAGAAAGTGAAGATGGTGAAGCCAAAATAAACATAGCTGATACACCAAAGCAAATTTTGACTCCTGTTGTGGATTCTTCTACATTACCTGAAGTAAAAGAGGAGGAACAATCTCCAGAAGATGCCCTTTTGAGAGGGTTACAGAGGACAGCTACAGATTTTTATGCTGAACTGCAGAATTCTACAGATCTGGGATATGCTAATGGGAATCTTGTACATGGATCAAACCAAAAGGAGTCAGTATTTATGAGACTTAATAATCGTATTAAAGCCTTAGAAGTTAACATGTCTCTTAGTGGTCGCTATCTGGAGGAGCTAAGCCAAAGGTAAGCTTTCTTATGAATGAGCACAATCTATTTTGCATATTATGAGTTAAGTAGCAGAACATACTCTGTGACTAGAAGAGGAAGGATTTCATTATCCTGTGATATAATAGCAGTAAGCATAAAAGATCTGGAAGAGAAAGAATGTAATTGGATATTAATTGGTGACTTAAAGAATAATTTCTTTTTTAGAAGTACTAAGTAATGAAATGCTTTTGATATTAGGGTAACAAGTTTGAATTATCTGTACTCCATTTCTGCTTTCTACTGTCGCTTAAATTTAGCCACTTTTACTATTTGATTACCAGTGTGCTCATGGAAAAAAATCATAGCACATGAACCTTAAAGCTCCTAGTGAAACTTGACAAGGGATCATTCTAGAGTTTAAGTAAGTGAAAATTAGAATGGACCGAATTGGATAATTAGGCAACATTTGTGCTATTTTAAATAAGTCCTAGAGTCCTAGTTCTAGTTGTAATAATTTATGTTCTTCTGCTCATAAGTGCCAGAGGCAATTCCAGTATGTTTATGCAGTTATTAAGATACCATTTTTCATTTGACAAGCATGTGTACTCTTTTTTTTTTTGGTTCCTTTTAAGTTCCCAGGGTCCTCAGGGCTTCTCCAGCATTTTGGCATTAAGTGTTTAAAATTTCTGAAATACTACCTTTTCTTCTTCCTCTTAAGTAGAAATACTGATGAGATGTCACTAAGGTAGTCATTATATCTTAAATGGGGTTTCGCCCTAGCCCATACATTTATCGACAGATTGTGTGTTCATGTGCATGTTCACCTAGCTCATACCTGCTTTTCCCAATCACCTCCCATACCCCAGGCAGCCCCCAGGAGAACTACAGCAATTGGTAATAACTCTTCTATAGCAGTGAGATGCATAGAATTGACATTGAGGTAGCCGATACTTCAAGGGATCTTTTTTTTTAAGATTTTTTTTTTTTTTTTTATTTTGTGTAAAAGAACTGGGGTATAGGTAAGAGGATTCATCAGACACAGAGTGGGAAGCACAGCAAGCGGATTCACTGAAATACACTGCTGAGGGGAGCAGCGGGTGAGGCAGGAGCTGTCTGCTTCACCATGTGTGTTAGCTCCCTGGCGAGGGATCGAACCTAGGCCACCATGGCGGAAGGGCTAAGACTTAACAGCAAGGGATCTCCTTTTTAACCTTTCTTTTTACCTGTATCACACAGGTTCACAAGCATCATTTATAGAAAAAATGAATTTATCTCATCAAAATCAGAGGTGTTTCCAGTAAATAAATGAGTAAATAAGAAATTAAATTTAGATCAATTCTTAACTCCACAGGTACCGAAAACAAATGGAAGAAATGCAGAAGGCTTTTAATAAAACAATAGTAAAACTTCAGAATACTTCAAGAATAGCAGAGGAGCAGGTTGGTCATCTGCATGTCTTACTTTCTTCTTACGTAAATTTCCATTGAATTTTGTAGGATCTCTCCGGTAGGAAGATTAAGTATTACTAGTTTATTTTTCTCCTGATAACTAATGATTAAGTCCGTTATGCATCACCAATGTTTGGAAAGTCGCATAGTTTTTAGCATCATTATATCCTTTAGAGAAAACTTTCTAGAGCATTTTAATCCTACATTTTGAGACATGTGTTGAGGTACACTGTACTTTTATGCACTTTTGCTAAACTCAATTCTTTTGTGGTTTTCAATTAGACAATTTTATTGCAAATAAGAAACAACAGTTTTTCTTCTTTTTCAATCCTTATATGTTTTTATTTTTTTTTCTCTTTCGCCTTGAGCTATATATGATGTGATAGGACTGGTGATGGTTGCCATTCTCTCTGCTGATTTTAAGGGAATGACCTCAGTATTGCACTGTTAAATGTGATGTTTATTAAGTTTTTATAATGTGTTATCACAATTATTTTATGTCAAACTTTTCTAAAAGGTATTTTGGTGTAGGGACTTGTGAGATGAGGTGAAGTGAAAAGACTTATAATTTCAGTGAGTTCCATTGCCTCTTAATCTTAGCCTTTAATTCTCAACATTATAGTTGTGATTCCATAAAAAATTCCTCCCCTCTACTCCCTCTCCCACTTTTTTTTAAGGTTTGAAAGTTATTACACATTTTGAGTGCAGGTCCTTTTTTTGAACTTGAGATTTGATTTGCAAATGTTATTTTCCCCCAGTGTTACTTTTTTTTTTTAAAAGATTTATTTATTTATACAAGAACCGGGGTACAGGCCAGATGTGTGGGAGAGTGAGAGGATTCACCAGAGACAGAGCAGGAAACAGAACAGGCAGACTGACTGAGATACACTGCTGAGGGGAGCAGCGGGTGAGACAGGAGAGGTCTGCTGCACCATGTGGGTTGCTCTGTGGCCGGTGGGGATCGAACAGGCACTGCCGAGGCTGCGGAAAGCTTCACAGCTCAGCGCTCAACTGCCTGTGCCACCAGAGAGGCCCAGTGTTACTTGTTTTTGCATTCTCTTAAAAGTATTTTGAAAAAGCTACATTTTTAATTTGTTGAGACCCAGTTTACCATTTGCTTTGTTCTGCAAAATCCCTGCCTAAAGAAAGTCACACAGACTCTTTTTCATGTAATTTCTTCTAGAAATTTTATAGTTTTAGTATTATGTTAGGTTTATGATCCATTTTGAGTTATTTTTTATGCGTTGGAAAGGATTAAGGAAGTATAGAGGAAGGAGATTAGGAAATGTGGATATTCCTTAGCTTTTCAGCATCATTTGTTCAAAAGACATCTATCTGCACTGAGTTTCCTTTGCCATGTTCATAAAAATCCATTGGCTATATCTATTGGTCTATTTCTGGGCTTCTTTTCTGTTTATTTATTTGTACATCTTACCATTGCTATGAAGTAACTTTTAAGGTAATGTGAATCCTCCTTTGGCTTTACTCTTCTTTTCCAAAATTTTTTGACCAATCTGGATTTGAGAGCAAGCTTGTCAGTTTCTATTAAAATCACCAACCCTCCCACCAGAAGGAAAAAAAAAAAATCACTCTGTGTTGAATTTATAGATCAATTGAAGAACTTACACTTTAACATAACTGTTATAATACATGAGCACAATATTTATTCATTAATTGTATTAATTTCCCTTACTCTGTATTTTTCCCTGTGATTTATATGTTAACATCTTTGCTATTATAGTATTGGAAGTAAATCTTGATTAGAAAGGTTAGCCAACTTATTAAATTTAATACCTTATCCTGTAAATGTTTATAAATGTCTAGAATTCATCAGTGTTTTCCAAATGTTAAACAATTTAATGAGTCATTTATGTTCAACATTTTAAAATAATAAAGTAGGATAGAAATTACCCCAGAAGATCACAGTAATGGTAGTAAGTGAAACATTTTTGTTACAGTTTTATACATGAAACCTCTTCCCCCAGCATAGCATTGATGGTCTGCATGATCAATTGTAGGTTATTGACTATGTGACATCATAATATTAAGTAACAGAATCCAACCAAGTTAATTTTAAAACCAATTAGTTTTATTAAATGATTCATGAATCGGGCAGCATTCCACTTAGCAGATTATTTACTTGAATTTATAATGTAGTTAATGTACAGATGGAAAATAAAGTACTTATTTTTTTTCCTCTATCATAGGATCAACGTCAAACTGAAGCCATCCAGTTACTTCAGGCACAACTGACCAACATGACACAACTTGTTTCAAACTTATCAACAACAGTAGCAGAATTAAAACGTGAGGTAATTGTTTTTGCAGGTGCACATATAGAGATTATCATAAAGGCAGGCTTTTTAAAAACTTGGTAGAAATGAATTTTAACTGAACAGAATTTTATAGAGAACTTTTTATTATACCTGAATGTGGCATCTTTAAATTTTGGAAATGAAGTATCAAAATCTTTTGGAAAACACAACCATTATATCTTACCAGTTATAAAGCAGTTTTAGGCTTTTTGCAATAAATTCTCCATTTTCACTTCAAAAATACATGTTAGGTTGCTAAGGAAAGCAAAGATTTCATTGATTTAACACATTTTGATTGAACTGTCAGTATATGACGCATGAGCTTCAGGTTGGCATATAGTAGTGCATAGCCCCTGGCCTCACAGGCTTTATGTTTTGTGGGAGAAAGGAAATACATATAGTAAATATAGGTGATCATTTCTCCTAACAATAGGTGCTCTGAAGAACAAGAAGATAACAAAATGTGTGTGAATAGATTAGTGTGATAAAGATTGCTGCTTTGGCTAGGGTGATCATGGAAATCGTGGAAGTCTTTTATGAGGAGGTGGTGTTAAGACTGAATACTCAGTAAGAGTAAACAGTCATATACAGCTTGAGGTCAGACCAAACCTGTTACTCGCAGAACTAGGGCAAAGGACCCATGATTACAAACAAGGTAAAATGTTTGAGGGCAGAAAGGAAGCTAATGTTGCTGGAGCAGTGAATGAGAGGCATGAGGGTAAGAAGTGAGTTCTAATCATTGCAAAGTCATTGCAGAGTATAGTGACATGGATCAGCTCATTTAATAATTTAAGAAATTCCTTATTTCTTGCTCTGTGGAGAATTGCAGGTGTGAGGAAGAAGCCCATTGGCAGGTAATTGTGGTAATCTGATGAGGTGAAAGTGATTTGGACTAGGATTTTAGAAGTGGAGAACAGTGTGAGGTTGTTAAATTGAGAATATGTTTAAAAGGTAAGGAGACAAACCTTGCTGAAAGATTGTATGGTAATGAGAGGCTATGAGTGAGCCCTAGGTTTTTGGCTTAAAACTGATGGCTCGGTTTTACAGGATGGGAAAGACTAGGTACAAGCATCATTTTCTCTCCCTAAGGAAGAAATAATATAAATAGAAGGACAGAGCAAGTGTCGTAATAGGTTGACAATTGGTGGACATATATGAAAGGCATGAATATGTATATTGTACCACTTTTTAAAAAAAGACTTATTTTTATTTATTTATGCATACAAGAACTGGGGTGTAGACCAGAGGTGTAGGGGGTGAGTGGATTTACCAGAGACAAAGTGGGGAGCAGAACAGGTGGATCTACTGAAATACACAGCTGAGGGGCAGCAGGAGAGCCAGGAGAGGTCTGCTTTGCCAAATGTGGGTTAGCTCCCTGGCTGAGGATGGAACTCAGACCATAGTGATGATAGCACCCCTACGCCAACAAGGAGGCCTGTATTGTACCACTTCTAAAACTTTTCCATTTGTTTAAAATTTTCTAGGTAAGGATTAAGGGAAAACTAAAAAGTAAAACATTGCATAGTTGTGTAATATCAAAGAGTATATAGCCTGTATTTTTGAAGCACATTGAAAAATGTTTAAAATGATCGAATTTTTGATTCCTTTGAATTTGGATTTCACTATATTTTTTATTATTGTTTTTATTGATTCAAATCCTTTCCCATCTCAGGTCTCAGATCGACAAAGCTACCTTGTCATATGTTTGGTTCTCTGTGTTGTCTTGGGACTGATGCTTTGTATGCAGCGTTGTCGAAATACCCCTCAATTTGATGGAGATTTTATTTCACAACTTCCTAAAAGTAGTCAGTATCCAAGCCCTAAAAGGTAATGTTGGCACTCTATTTCACAATTTTCTTTTTGTTACAATGCATTTTGTATTTTTGAGAACTTTGAACAAATAGTGAGTTAATTCATTTTACCATATGATTATCTTGAGACCAAAATTTTGAAAGATTTATTTGAGTTAGTGAGGCATCCAAGTTCTACATGCTTGGATGATTCTGTTGACTAATGTATTTGAAATGTTTGGGTTTAAAAGATGCTTAAATGTGAAATTCTAAAGGGGAAAAGATAGGTATTTCAGTATTGCACCTTTTAGAGAAGAATCTTTAGAATTCTTCCCCCCCACCCCCCACACATGTATTGGCAGTAATTGGAATGTTCCTTTAGAGCTTGGTCCCATGTGGCATGTACAAATTCTCAATAACTTCCAATAGTCCCAACTTGTAGAGTAAGTTATATATTGTTTACTCATTATGCTTAACATTGATTTTTTTTTTTTCTTAATGTGTTAGGTGTTTCTCTTCCTATGATGATATGAATTTGAAAAGGAGAACTTCATTCCCACTCATCAGATCAAAGTCTCTACAGTTAACTGGCAAAGAAGGTAGATTTGTGTGTGTGTGTGTGTAAACATGACTGTAGCTTACTTCTGGAATAAGTATGTCAGTATTGTGTTTGAGACCATCTGTAACAGAATAATGGATGCAAATCTTTGCGTTTGTGCTGTGTTAAAGCCACCTTACCACTTTCACACTTTATCTTTGTTCCTAAGAGCCCATAGGGTGGGAGGGGTGCTTAGTTTATTTAACTAGCCATTGGTAGCTTTGTTTGCACATGCTCCTGTTTAGAAGTATTTCTTTTTAGAAAGGGATGTTTGAGAAAGTTCAACAGATATGGAAAACCTGAATGTCCTCCCATAGCATCCTGTGCTTATCTGCCTCCTCTTCCTGTACAGGTAGGACCCCTTTTGTCTATAGTTTAGGACTATGAGGCACTTTCTAATTAAAAAATCTGGCCTGTCTTTTTTTATAGCCCAGAGTCTATAATAGCTTTCCACTGTCTAACATTTAATGAATACTTAAATTTAAATGAGTGGATGGTACTGAGTTGCTATTTTGCTTTATCAGTACTTTTACAGTTAGTACTTACTAAGAGATTTATTGTCATAGCAAGGTTAAAATAGCCAGGTTAATAGCCAAATTGTATATTTCAATTAGGAGTGCTTTCTTAATGATCACTGGCCTCTCTCTCTCTCTCTCCCTCCCTCTTGCTTTAGGATTAGTAACTAAGCAACATGTTTTAATAGATCAAATCATCAAGTAATCATTCCTGAACTTCAGCTGATTTTACTGTTATCACTAAGTTTTACAGACTTAACCCATTACATGTATGTTTACTTAGAACTGGTAAATCTATTCTTCCTTCCTGATGTTTTCTTTCTCATATTTTATTTTGTCTGATGTCTTTTTATAACTGAAATTTTTTATTATATGCAAGAAAGTATAATTATTATATGTAAAAATTGATAAGTTTTCACAAACAAAACACACCTATGTGACCCAGATTAAGAACCAGTAAATTATCCAGACCAGAAACTTTGTGTTCTTTCAGTTACTGCCCATTCTCTCACTGGATAGCTGCTATTATGACTTTTAACTATTCGTTGAGAGATTTACCATTTCTTTGAGTGTAATTTGTTTATTCTCATTCCTGTGTAGTATTCCATTACACACATTTATTTATATTTGGATTATTTTCAGTTTGAGGCTATCACATGTATTTGGTAAACATATAGATGATTTCTTTTAGATATATACCTAGAAATGGGATTGCTGAATCATAAGATATATTTTTATACTTAGGCATGTACCATATATATATGGTACCATACACACACACACACACACACACACACACACACACACCCCTTATGTATATATACCTTATGTGTGTGTATATATACACACACACACACCCCTGATTTTGTTTTCCACCTGTCAGCCCTCCTATCAGCTATGTATGAGTTTCATTTGTTCCACACATCCTTATTAACATTTAGTATTCTTGCTCTTTTGGCCATTCCAGTGGATATGTAACATTCCTTTTTTGAACTATATACATGTAATTAGGAAATAGGTTTTTCCTTCTCCATAGTTCTAATCTTATTTTAAATTAGTTGAAAGCATGACTATTTTACTATTTCTCTTTTCTTTATGTAACATTTCAAAGAAAATGAAATAGTCTTTTATACCTGATAATAGAATTACTTCTATTTTAAACAATTATTTCATCCTTGTTTATATTTACAATTAAAAATGTTGACTACAATAGGCAGGAGACTGACTTTAATTCTGATTCTGCTATTGTTTCTTCTATTTGAATTAAATTTCTTCTTATAGCACTTATAGTCTGCTTTGAGGTTAGCCATCCTCTATTTGCCTTATTTTCAGTCTAAACATTATGAGACAAGACCGTGTGTTATTTTTTAAAATTGTGGTGAAAAATGCACAATATAAGCTTTACCATCTTAATCACTTTTAACTCTGTGTGTGTGTGTGTGTATAGTTTAGTAGTGAGTGTATTCACATTGTTGTAAAACAGATCTCCAGAACTTTTTCATTTTGTAAATCTGAAATCATTCCATTAAACCCTTTTCTCCAGCTTTTAGTAACCACCATTGCATTTTCTGTTCCTATGAATTTGACTACTTTAGATATCTCATATAAGTAGAATCATACAGTATTTGTCTTTCTGTGCCTAAGTTATTTTACTTAGCACAGTGTCCTTAAGGTTCATCCATGTGGTACATGTGACAGGATCTTCTTCCTTTTATGACTCAATAATATTTCATTTTACGTTCATGCCATATTTTTTAACATCTGTTGGTGGCATTTGGGTCACTTCTACCTCTTGGCTTTTGTAAATAGTGTTGCTTATGAACATGACTGTGAAAATATTTCATTGTTTTATTTCTTCTGGATATATACCCAGAAGTGAGATTGCCGAAACATATGGTAGTTCCAATATTTGAGGAACATCTGTACCGTTTTTCATGCTGGTTACATCAATTTTACAATCCCACCAATAATGTGTAAGTGTTCTGATTTTCTCACATCTTTGCCACACTTGTTTCCTGTTTTTTTTATAGACCTGTAATATTTTCTGGTTTTTGATAGTGTGATGATGTAACTCATGGTTTTGATGTATATTTCTCTGATAATTCCTGATGTTAAGTATCTTTTTATGTTGCTTGTTAGCCATTTATAAGTCATCTTTGGAGAATATCAAATACTTTGTCCATTTTTCAATCTGGTTATTTGATTTTTTTTTTTTTTTTTTTTTTTTTACTGTAGGTGTTCTTTACATATTCTGAATATTAACCCCTTATCAGTTGTATCATTTACAACATATATTCTCCTATTCTGTAGGTCATGTTTTCACTCTGTTGTATGTGTTCTTTGATAGGATTTTTGACATGTGATGTTATCCTACTTGTTATGTTACCCTTCATTGCCAATTATTGTCATGAAGTTTTTTCTACTATGTTTTCTTTAGGAATTTTATAGTTGTAGTCTTTAATACATTTTGGGTTAATTTTTGCACATGGGGAAAGATAAGGCTCCAACTTCATTTCTTTTGCCTCTAAATATCTAGATTTTGCAGTAAGATTTGTAGAAGATATCCATTTCCCCATTGGTTGGCATTGGCACTATATTGACCATATGGATAAGGTTTTGTTCTAGGACCTTTTTTCTATTCCATTTCTCTGTATTGTTTGCCCATCCCATCTCTGTTTCTATTACTGTGGCTTTATAATGTGTTTTAAATCAGGACGTCTGAATCTTACACTTTTTCAAAGTGTTTTGGTTATTTGAAGTCCCATATGAATTTTAGGATGTATTTTTCTATTCAGGCAAAAAGCACTGTTGGGATTTTGATAGGAATTACACTAACTGTGTAGATCATTCTATTTTATTTTATTTTAAGATTTATTTATTTATTTATACAAGCATTGGGTATAGTCAGAAGCACAGGATGGTGAGAGAATTCACCAGAACTAGAGCAGGGAACAGAACAGGCAGACTGATGAAATACACTGCTGAGGGGAGCAGGGGCGCTGCAGGGGACATCTGCGTGCCATGTGGGACCCTCGCTGGCGGCCGGGGATTGAACCGGCACTGCAGAGGCTGAGGGCAGCTTCGCAGCCCAGTGCTCAACCACTGCGCCACCAGGGAGGCCCTGTGTAGATCATTTTAGATCATGTGTACATCTTAACTCTATTAAATCTACTAGTGATGAATATGAAATATCTTTCCATTTGTTGGTGTGTTCATTTCTTTCATGAATGTTTTGTATTTTTCTGTATACCAGTCCTTCACTGTCTTAAACTTATTTCTAAAGTTTTTATTACTTTCTGTGCTATTGTGAATAAAATTGTTTTCTTAAGTTCTTTTCTGGATTACTCATTATTACTGTACAGAAACACAAATGATCTTTATATGTTGATTTTGTGTGCACAACTGCCGAATTCATTTATTTTACCATTTTTTTGTATGTGAAATTTTTAGATTTTTTTACATATAAGATGATGTCATTTCTGAATAAAGATAATTTGATTCCCTCCTTTCCAATTTGGATGCCTTTATTTTCTTTTTCTTGCCTAGTTAGTCTGGCTAGGACTTTTCAATACTATTTTGATTAGAAGTATTGATTTCAATACTATTTTGATTGACTATATGATAAGGACATATCCTTTCCTTGTTCCTGATCTTAGTTAAAAACTTTCAGTATTTCACTTTTGAATATCATATTACTGTGGCCTTTTCATAAATAGTCTTTATTTTGTTGAGGTAGTTTCCTTCTGTTCCTGGTTTACTGAGTGTTTTTGTTTTTTGTTTTTTTTTTTTAATCATGAAAGTGTGTTGAATCTTGTCATAGCCTTTTTCTGCATCAATTGAAGTGATCTTGTGGTTTTTGTCCTTCATTTTGTTAATGTGTAGTATATTATATATTGATTGATTTTCATATGGTGAACCATCCTTGTGCTCTGAGAGTAAGTCTCACTTGGTCACAATGTATAATCCTTGAATTTGGTTTGCTAGTGTTTTGTTAGAGATTTTTCCATAAACATACCTTTTGTTACTGGAACCTAAGTTGTGTGAGTTTCTCTAGGAATAGTACCTAAATGTAAAATTGCTGTGTTTGTAGAATGTGCTTATCTGCAAATTGAAAGATAATAGCAGACTTTTCTAAAATGGTCACACCAGTTTATATTTTTACCAAAAATTCCACTATACTGCATTCTTATCAACAAACAACATTAACATGTTGATTTTTATTTATTTATGCATACAAGTACTGGGGTGGCCAGAGGTACAGGGAGTGAGAGGATTCACCAGAGACAGAATGGGGAGAACAAGTAGAGCTACTGAAATATACTGCTGAGGGCAGCAGCAAGCAAGGCAGAAGAGGTGTGCTGTGCCATGTGGGTTAGCTCCCTCACTGGGGATCAAACTCATGCCACAGTGACTGGTAATAGCTTGATAGCACTGAGACTAATCCCTGCGTGTCCAGGGAGGTCCCAAAATTGATATGATTTAAAGTGTGTGCATTGCAATTATAATTTGTATTATCTTGATTACTAATTAAGTTGATCATCTTATGCCTTTTAGTCATTTGACTTTCATTAGCCTTTAAAATTATTTTGCCTGTTCTTTTATTGGGTTGTTGACCTCTTTTGTACTGAGTTATAGCTGTTGTTGAGATTTGGGTCTTAGTTGTTGGTTGGCTAGTTATGTTGCAGGTATCTTACTTAACATGTGGTCTTTTAAACAAGAAAAACACTTGATTTTAATGTAATCAGATCTATTAACTTATTTTTCCACTTTGTTAGTGTCATTTATCTCTTGTTTAAACAGAATACTCCAGGGCCTCCCTGGTGGCGCAGGCCGTTGAGCACTGCACTGTCAAGCTGTCCGCAGCCTCTGCAGTGCGGGTTCGATCCCGGAAGGCCGGCAAGAGGCCGGCGAGAATCCCACATGGCGAAGCAGACCTCTCCTGTCTCGCCTGCCGCTCCCCTCAGCAGTGTATTTCATCAGTCTGCCTGTTCTGTTCCCTGCTCTGTCTCTGTTGAATCCTCTTACCTTCCGGCACATCTGGCTTGTACTCCGGTTCTTGTATAAATAAACAAATCTTTAGGAAAAAAAAATAAACAGAATACTCCAAGTTTTTGGATGATATTCTGTTATGTTTTCTTTTACATGTTTAATTTCACTTTTATGTTTAGGTTTTTCATCTACCTGAAATTGATTTTCTGTATATGGTATTAAGTAGTGATTCTCATAAAATTTTAAATGAATATCAAGTTATTTCAGGTTTCTTGGCCAGTGTTGTCTCTTTACATCTCTATATAAATTTATTCAATGCTTTATTAATAGTAGTAGGCTTTTGATTGAGATTACATTGACTCTACAAATCAATTTGGGAAGAACATAGAATATCTGTTTGGTTCAAAAAGGCAAAACTTTTGAAAGTTTTATTCCTAGAATATTTTTTGATGCTGTCATAAATGGTATGTGTATATCTGTATTGCGAGTGTGTAGAAATACAATAGATTTTGGTGTTTAAATTCAGCTATGTGCTTACTGGTTCTCAGCTTGCTAGATCTGTTTATTTTTGATAGATGTGTATTAAAGCCTGTAACTGTAACAGAGCCATCTGTATTTTCTTGCAGTTCATTAAGTTTTGCCTCATGTATTTTGTCTCTGTGTTGTGAGGCACATACACATACACATTGAGGATTTTTATGTCTTCTTGGAATAGTCACTGTTTTATTATGAAATGCCCCTCTTTATTTCTGATAAATTTCCTTATTCTGAAGTCTGTTCTGTCTGAAATTAATATACTTATTCCTGCTTGCTTTTGATTATTTAGTATTATATGTCTTCATCCCTTAATTTTTCATCTATATGTATCTAAACATTCAAAGTGGATTTTTCATAAACATATGGTTGAGTCTTACTTTTTTAACCCACTCTTGACTTTAAATTGGTGTACTTGTTATGTTACATAAATTTTTATTGACATGTAATCGACATGTAATATTATATTAGTTTTCATTTATATAGCATAATGATTCAGTATTTCAGAATATTGCAGAATGATTGCCACAGTCATACATGGAGTTACAAATTTATTTGCCTTACGATGACAACTTTTAAAATCTACTCTTAGAGCAGTTTTCAAATATACAATGGAGTAGTATTAACTGTAGTTACCATTCTGTACATTATATCCCCAGGATCCATTTATTTATAATTGGAATATTTTGCTTTTGACCCCTTTGACAAATTTTTTTGCCTATCCCACCTCCTATCCCCTCCCTCTGGCAATCACCAGTCTCTTCTTATCTTGACTTATATGTTATTGTTTTTGTGTATTTTTACTTTTTTTCTGCTCAGTTTTAATGCAGTAAGGTTTTTTAATACTAAAGTTCATTTAAATTACTCACATATTTACCAATTTCTTAATTCTTAAGTCTTTCTAAGGATTTCCATTTGTCTTACTTTTACTTGCCCTCAGACTTCTCTATTATTTCTTTTTTCCTGCTTCAATTTATTGGACACTTTGTATCTCCAAATTGGTATTTTTGATCAATATTGGAAAATTCTTCACCATTTTTCTCCAAAATACTGTCTGCTTCATTCTCTTTTAGAATCTTCACTTTATTAAATGTTAGTCCTTCTCCATAATATCCCCATTGTCTCCTAAATTTCTTTTCCACCCTTTTGCCTTTCTGTGCTTTATTTTGTATGATTTCTTCTGATCTGCTTACTAGACCACATGTCCTTTAGCTATTGATAATCTACCATTTCCAGTGCTAAGAGTTCTTTTAGTTTTTTTGTCTTTAGTATTTTTCGAACATCTGCATTTTTTTCTTGTTTTATGTTTCCTGCAGGTATTTTGAACCTACCCCAGTATAACTGTATTTATTGTCTGTTTGGAGTTTTGATGTAGTGAATCTTTGTGAATCTGTTAATTTTTTCTGCAAGCTCTTACCTAAGGTGCTTTTTTGCTTGCCTAAGGTCATTGCTAGTCCATGTCTTTGAGAAATTATTTCTAGGGCTAATTTGAGAGTAAGAATGTAGGTCCTTATTCCAGAGAGAATTTGTTTGCTTTTCATTTTAAAATACTTTACATTTGTGAATTGAGGTTTGTTGGACCACTGCCAGGTGTTGGGGATTTGGACTATTAAGTCTTTCCTATAGCTTCATTCTTTCCCTGAGGATGTAAGCCTTTGGAGTCCCTGTTTACTGAGGGAATGGAAAGGATATCTTGTTAAACTACTTTGGGTAGATGTGAAGTTTGATTTCAACACATTTTCTTATGATGCCATCGGAGCTATGCTCACATATTTTTTTTAAGATTTATTTTCATTTATTTACACATACAAGAACTGGGGTATAGGCCAGAGGTGCGGGGGGTGAGAGGATTCACCAGAAAAAGAGTGGGAAACTGAACAGGTGGATCTACTAAAATACACTGCTCAGAGGAGCAGTGGGCAAGACAGACAGGAGAGGTCTACTGCACCATGTGGTTTAGCTCCCTGACCAGGGATCAAACACCACGCAACGTTGGGTGGTGATAGCTTGATAGTGGTGAGCCTTTAATAACCCCTGTGCCACCAGGGAGGCCCTATGTGCACATATTTTTGCATTGGCAAACGCTTTCAGGACAGAAATGACTTGTGTATTCCACTTGACTCTGAATTCTATTTTTCTTTGAATTTTGGCCTGGGGATTACTCACTATCTTAATAGTTCTTTAGTGCTTTCAATAATTTATTAAAAATCTATCATATTTAGTTGTTTTCAGTGGGAAGGTTATCTGAATAACATTCATTAAGTTTACAGTCATGTTTTTTTTTTAAACAATTTGAGTAAGATTAGTAATGTGATAAAAATGACTGAATATTTTCATATATTCAGTGTCTTCCTCAACAAATTTCTTTGACAGTATAAAAAATTATAATTGTGGGCCTCCCTGGTGGCGCAGCGGTTGAGCGCTGGGTTGCGAAGCTGCCCGCAGCCTCTGCAGTGCCGGTTCGATCCCCGGCTGCTCCCCGGCCACCGGAGGAGGGTCCCACATGGCGCGCAGACCTCTCCTGCTGCCCGCTGCTCCCCTCAGCAGTGTACTTCGGTCCTTCTGCCTGCTCTGTTCCCCAATCTGGCTCTGGTGAATTCTCTCACCCTCCCACACTTCTGACTGTACCCAGTGCTTGTATAAATAAATAAATCTTTAAAAAAACAAAAACAACAACAACAAAAAAAAAATTATAATTGTTTGAACTTCTGTCACACCATAAATTGTGTATTTCTAATCGATCAGGACTAAAAGTATCAATAACCCCTCTTACATGTACATTTACCATGCCACTCTGGGGGTGGCATAGAGATGTCTTGAATGTGCTTGACATAATGAAATCTTAGAAACCTAAAACTAATATATCTAATTTACTCACCAGTTCAGAAATGTTTATTCCTATTGTTTATTCATTTGTTACATGTTGAAGCTATTTTTTTTTTTATGTTTTAAAAAAATTTTATTTATTTATTTACACAAGAACCGGGGTACAGGCCAGATGTGCGGGAGTGTGAGAGGATTCACCAGAGGCAGAGCCGGGAACAGAACAGAACAGGCAGGCTGACTGAAATACACTGCTGAGGGGAGCAGTGGGCGAGACAGGAAAGGTCTGTCACACTGCGTGGGTTGCTCCGCCGCCGGCGGGGATCGAACTGGCACTGCCGAGGCTGCGGACAGCTTCACAGCGCTGCCCTCAACTGCCTGTGCCACGAGGGATGCCACTGAAGCTATTTTTAGACTTTGGAATTCATAGTTTTGATCATGGGTAAATCATAGTAATAATTAGAAAAAAATTCTTAGATCTCTTTGTGTGCACATTTCTCTAACCCTCACACATGGTCACAACTTCTTGTTGCACAATGTTAACCAAACATTTGGACTTAGTGTAGAGTTTAGATTTTTTAGGGAATTACTTAAATGATGGGTAGCTAATTCATATTAGCTAACTTGGTGATATCATTTTACTTAGCAGTTATGAGGGTAGGGCTAGACCCAAAAGAAGGATTACCACTGTATTGACTGATATTCAGCTATTAGGTAAAAACTTGAAGGGAGTTATTTGAAGGTGACCAATCAAGCCCAAATAAGGATGCCATCTCCTACCTTGTTGCTTTTGGCTTACTAATTTTAAAAATATATATGCATTGTTAACCTGGTATTGATATAAACTCACTGTTTAAAAAAATAATTGCTAAGGGGTCATAAAATATTTTTGTAGTGGTTAATCCTGGCATACATAATCTACTTTACATTTTACGTCTTCCTCTTCTTCTTCTTCTTTTTTTTTTTTTTAACTTATAGTAGACCCAAATGATTTATACATCGTAGAACCTCTCAAGTTTTCTCCAGAAAAAAAGGTAAACATTTGTTTCTTTTAAACGTGTGTTGTATATTGTTGTGTTGTGAAGAAATAGGTAGCAATGTTTAATAATCTTTTACATGGTCCTTGAACATATTATTTATTTTCAATAGTAATATAAATGTTTACAGGGTTCAGTAAACTGTGACCCATAGGTCATATGTGGCTTGTGACTTCTTTTGTATGGGCCTAAAGCTAATTTTTAAAAATAAACTTTCATTGATTTACCATTGATTACAATGTTAATATAAATTTCAGGAATACAGCTTACACCTCTGTATGTATATATGCCTCATTCATCCGCCACCAAAATTTTAGTGTCTTTCACCCTATTAAATTGACCCCTGAAAACTACTGCTCCCTTTTCTTTCCTTCTCCTCGGGAAACCACCGTATTTTGCAAAGTCTTACGAGTTATTTTTGTTGTGTTTTGTAAATTTGATTATATTCTACATACGAATGCAACTATCTGGTGATTTCTCTTTCTTACTTCACTTACTATAATCACCTCAGGTTCATTCCATGTTGACACAAAAGAGAAGATTTCATCTTTTTTTAAGTAGTATTTTCATTGAGTATATATAGCACAACTCATAGAGCTGTTTTTAAAACATAGTAAAATAAAGAAGAATATTCAAGAGCAACAATATGTACTTGCAAAGCCTAAAATATTTACTGTCTGGCCCTTTACAGAAAAAGTTTGATGATCCCCGGTTGATGGCCATTATTTATTGAGTAATGTGTATGTGCTGGTCCTACACTCCTCACAACAACCTGTAGATGAGAAAACTGAAACTCAAGAGAGTTTGTAACTTCTTTATATGATCAGCATCTAAGCTTAAACTATACCTTAGCTTTTTTAGCTAAAAAGTATGTGCTTTTTCCATTTTGAATCTCAAAGTAAGTTGTACTCATTCTGATTAAAGGTAATTGTGTGCAAGTGAAAGAATTGGTTTTTTCAACCAAAAAGCTTAGGCTTCAATCACATGTCTACTCTCTACATTGTAGGTTGCACAGGGAACCAAGCCTCTGACTGAACCTTGTTAGGAATCAGGGATGAAATATCTTTCAAAGTTAGTAAATAAGATACACATGACAGCAACTCGAATGATAGCTGGCACGTAACGGGTATTCAGATGTTAGTTAAAACACTGCTTAATTAGAAGTTACCACCTTTAAATCTGTAATCAGATGTCAGATAAGGAACTTCTGAGTAGTTTACAAAATGGAAAGATAATGATGGTATGTATATAGAATATAGCAGTATCCAAATGTTTATAATACTGTCTTGCTTTTCACTGGAGGTTGCACTTGCCTCCATCTCTAGATGTTTAGTTACGTGCCTATTGGAGGTCTGACTCCTACCTGTCCTTTTACTTGTCTTTCAGAAGAAACGCTGCAAGTATAAAACCGAAAAAATTGAGACCATAAAGCCAGCAGATCCATTGCACCCAATAGCCAATGGAGACATAAAAGGAAGGAAGCCCTTTACAAATCAGAGAGATTTTTCTAATATGGGAGAAGTTTATCACTCTTCTTATAAAGGTCCTCCATCTGAAGGAAGCTCAGAAACTTCATCACAGTCAGAAGAGTCTTATTTTTGTGGCATTTCCGCCTGCACAAGTCTGTGCAATGGACAGACCCAAAAGACAAAAACTGAGAAGAGGGCTTTAAAACGAAGGCGATCTAAAGTCCAAGACCAAGGGAAATTGCTAAAAACTCTAATACAGACTAAGTCGGGATCGTTGCCGAGCCTGCATGACATAATCAAAGGAAACAAAGAGCTCACCGTGGGGACATTTGGGGTTACAGCGGTCTCGGGACATATCTAAAATTAGTCACATGTTTCATACTGGAGACTTTTTTTGTTCTTTAAAGAACAATCTGTGGTATTTGAAGGATTTGGGGGAGGGAGAAAATATTAATGGGAGAAGTATTCAGAAATTATGGTTTCTGCCATTTTAAAAAGTAGGTGGGATTGTGTCAATCTTGGTTAATGATCCGCAATTTTATAAGACTGATCACTTCCTACAAGGACAATGGTAGACATTTTGTAAAGAAGTTTTTTTCACAGATTAATTACTGGGACAGAAGTAATTTGGAAGCCCAGTTCCTTGGGTGGGATAGGAATGAAAGCCTAAACCTCTTCCTTTAGCTTTGTTCCTATTTCTTGCACCTTCCCATATTTATGTGCCTTTTGTCTATTTATAATGCCACTGGAAGAGGAGGAAGATGTTTTTTGTCATTTGATTTCTTTTATAACTTTATTAGTTTTTTGAAGCTGCAAACACTACAAGGCTTTAAGGTGCTCTGCGCCTGAAGTTCAGTAATGTGGGTCGAACAGTGAAAAGATCCTAAAGACTTGTCCAACTAGTCTATTTAGCAAACTCACTTGAAACAAACTTGCTGGAATTTTTAATCTATTCTTATAGGTACATGATGATATGTTAATGTTATTTTCATTTGACTTTAGTCACACTAAGTTTTCTTTAGTCACTGACTTGGGGACGGGGCAAACTATTTTCTTACAAAAGATTGGTATTTGCAAATAAATTTCTTTGAAATTTACCTGTTAATCACATTCCACCACTTGTAAAGTTTTTCTTTAACTATATTGTATTTTAAACACTCACAGTAAGCACTAATCCTTCCAAACTTTAAGGTCATTGTTTTCTATTTCCACAAATAGAAAATTTGAAGCTTTGTTGAATGAGTTCGAATCTCATAATCACTGCCTACGTGCCTATGCACAGAACCAGCTAGTGAGTTTGTCAAACCTTGTCTAATTGGGCAAGTTTCAAGGGATTCTTATTACTTGCTTTGCATTGGCTACAAAAGTGCAGAAGTATCCGTGTGTGATGTCCATGTGTCTTTTTTTTGTCCTAGTTTTTCTTTAAAAATAATTGGCAGTGACTATTTGAATAAAATGATTTCTTACTATGTGTTTGTACAGCAATGAGTAGAAGAGGAAAGTTTCTTTTTGAAAGAGAGAATTGATCATTTTGTGTTATAAGATTTAAGTTATAACTTATTGAGCACTTTTAGTAATGACTTTTTAAACTTGTCTAATACCTTTCTGGGGTATTGTTTGTAATGTGACTTATTTAAAGCCTTTGTGTTTAAGTTGCTGCTTTAGGTTAACAGTATGTTTTAGATGATTTAAAATTTTTTCCAGTCTGTACAATTAGCCATTCAGAGCAAGAGGACCTGATTGTACAGGAGGAACCCGTTGAAAAGAAGCCCAGAGGAGAGAAAAGGTAGAGCGGGAAGTTACACCATCAGTGTGCAGCATCCAGTGTTGTGAAAAGATGACTTTCAATATGTAACTACAAAGCTGTAGTGCCATTAGAAACTGTGAATTTCCAAATAAATCTGAACACTTGTCTTTATTAATTATTGGCTTTTCTGTTCTTTGAAGGAGAGTAACAAATCTGTTACTCTTAACATAGGTGTAAGTTTTTGCCACTTTAAAAGCTAAACACAACAGCATACCATTTAAGTAATTGGTTGGTTGTTAGTCAACTCCAAACTGATTATATGTTCACATAAACATTTGTTCCCTAAACAATCACAGTTTACCTTTCCAAACACTAAGATGAGAATTTGAATCTGTTTGATAAAATGTGGGTAGTTTTCCCTTATTAAATATGATCTGTAAGACTAGTTTTTTGTTTTTCCATATTAGAGTATGTAATATTTTGTAACTTGTTTTTATATTTTCTATATTTAAATAGAACATAACATCTTGCAACTTGAAGTTTATTTTTCTTCTCTGAGATATTGCCCAAATAAGGCAAAAAAATATTTAATGAGTGAAAGTTCTTGCCAGTGGTAGATTTGTACCTGATAAGAAGCTATGTTATCTAATAGGCTTTCAATCTTCTGTGATAATCATCCTCTTTTTATTTCTTCTCCAGTTAGGGATTAAGACTGTATGAAATGGGCCTCCCCGGTGGCGCAGCGGTTGAGCGCTGGGTTGCGAGGCTGCCCGCAGTCTCTGCAGCGCTGGTTCGATTCCCGGCTGCTCCCCAGCCACCGGAGGAGGGTCCCGCATGGCGCGCGGACCTCTTCTGCCGCCCGCTGCTCCCCTCAGCAGTGTACTTTGGTCTTTCTGCCTGCTCTGCTCCCCGCTCTGGCTCTGGTGAATTCTCTCGCCCTCCCGCGCTTCTGACTGTACCCAGTGCTTGTATGAATAAATAAATAAATCTTTTAAAAAAAAAATGTTTAAAAAAAAAAAAAAGACTGTATGAAATGGAGGAAACTAAGGGATGGGTAACACTGAGGATATAAAATGAAACAATTCTTTAAATTGGATTTTTTAGCTATTGAAGTTATATGTACATACAATTTGAAGAATTTAATAGTATTATAAGGCTTGTACAGCAGGTCCTCAACATTTCATTCCATGTTTTATTCTAAGATTGATAAGGAAAATAGTTGTTACTGAGCTGGAATCATTGTGTGGAGTCTGCACATTCTCCCCACGTCAACATGGGTTTTCTCCAGGTATTTTGTTTCCCCCGAATCCCAAAGATGTGCATGTAAGTTCTCAGATGTGTGTCTCATCCCCAATCTGAATGTGGGGTTGCGTGTGATGCAATAGAAAGGTGTCTATCCAGGGTTGGGTCCCTTTGTGCACCCTGAGCTGCCAGAGTCTGTCTGCCCACACTGAATAAAGTTAATAATTCCACAGTAGGGCCTCCTGATGGCGCAAGGGGTTAATTCTAAGCAGTATGAAGCTATCTGCAGCACGAGTTCAATCCCCAGCCAGGGAGCTAACCCATATGATGCAGCAGATCTCTCCTGTCTCACCCACTGCTCCCCTCAGCAGTGTATTGTGTATTTCATTAGATCCTCCTGTTATGCTCCCCACTCTGTCTCTGGTGAATCCTCTCACCCCCCCACACACACCTCTGTCTGTACCCCAGTTTTTGTATGTGTAAATAAATATTTAAAAAAGAATCTGTAGTATCTAATATACAGTTCATAGTCAGATTTTTCCTGTTCCTCATGTATGCCTTTTTTTTTTGTAATTGAGGTAATGTTGGCTTACATTGTTTACATTTTGAAAGCATAGACTCCCCTCCTCATGCTGTTAATTGCATTTTTTTTTTTAAAGGGAGAGGTGTCCAAGGTGCAGTCAAGTTTCATTATGTTGTAGTTCTGTTTAGTTTCTTGTAACAGTATAGGTTTCTTTCTGACTTTGTTGCATGTATGTCATCCTTGTGTAAGGGCCATACTTAGCTTTTTTCCCAAATCATTCTAGTATCAGTGTAGGAGCTACCAAACAGGGGGGACTAAGAGCTTTTCAACTGATATGTTGACACTAAATTTTACAGCAGCCCACAAATATTCATTTTACACCAGCCCACAAGTATTCATTTCATTAACGGTAAAACTTGTAAAAAAAAATCCTATTGGAGCATGTATTCATGACTTTCATTTAACCTATTACTTTCAAAATTAATCTTTTAAAGTATTTGCTTATGACAGCTCATCACCTGGCAATTTTAAGGTCATACACCCTAGACTATCAAGTTTGTGGAGGGTTTTTTTTTGACAGATCAGATATTAAAATCCAAACAAGTACCTTCTATTATAACACTTACTTGTAAAATAGTCTGTGTGAACTAGCATAAGCATTTGTGATTTTAAAGTGAATAGGAAGAAAAAGCAAGTTTTAAATCCAGGGTGGTTTAAAGTAGTTCCCAGGGAGGTGATGTGCCACTCTATTTAACAGCAGTTTGTCTTAGCACATGGTAACTGCTACTTCAATCAGATGGGAGGCTTTTGGTAATAAGTATCCCAAAAACTACTGAGGATGGCTTAAAAGTAGAATTTATTATTTCATTTATCAAGGTCCTACAGTTGGTGGCTCCAGGATTGGTTGGTTCAGTGACATAGAGTGAAATGAGGAACTTTTCCTTGCACTGTGCCATCTTCCCCATGTACTAAGACCACGCTAAAACATAAATGTATCCTCTTAGTAACCTACTTTTATAAATGTTGTCATTGTCCCAGTTTTAAAAAGAAAAAACTGAAACAAATCACAAAGTTAGTCATTTGAAGAGCAGGGATTCCAACACACGTGTTTGTATGACTTTCACTATGTCATAACGCCTCCTGCTGGAGACCTATGAGTACTACCGAGAATCCAGAAATCCTCTGAGGAATTCAACAGTGAGAGTCATTTGCAGAAGCACACTTCTGGCACTAGGCAGGTAGAATTTGTTCCATAAAGTTCTTATTTTGTATTCAGAAGCTGGAGAGACCTAGGACTCAGTAATGCATTAACCTTATATTCTTAATACCTATTTGGGATCAAATGTTACATTTAATATTCAGTTTTCAGGAAAATCCCAAAATTACGTTTCCAGTACTGCTTAGGGGGGAAAAACCATAATGCTCTTTGGATAGATAGTGAGTTCCAGATTTCCTAATGGAAAAATTGTAAAATTAAAATTGATTTAACCCAGGTTTTCAGGACCATAAAGTGATTTTTTTTTTTTTCAGATAAAATTAACAATGTAGTGGGGGAAAAAATTGCCAAGAAAACCTGCAGCATGTAGTCATCAAATGAGAATATATGAGACTTATTTCAAAGCAGCATTTTGTTTAATGAAGTCAAATAAATATAAATGTTATTGATTAAACAGAGGCAGCCACAGGACTTAACCTTAAAGGGCTCAAGAAGTCCACAGTCCAATTCCAAGAACCAAGCAGCAATGAAGACAAATGAACAATATTTAATCAATGGTAAAGAAAAGTTTACTCTCCCCAAGAGCCAGCAATCAAAATTCTTATTTATTGGGGTTTATGGAACGTTGAAAGAGGAAGTACAAAAATGACTCAATCCCCACATGAAAAAGAATATTGATTTGAGGGAGCATGAAATGCTAATATACAGCACATCAAAGAGGCTCTACTTAAAAATAATAACTACTAGCACAGCAGAAAATGGAAACTGTGGCTCTCCTTTCCCCCCCAAGTCACTGGTCTCCCCCCACAGCCCCCGAATATCTTTCACATAAATGGCATGAGCTCCGCTTCGGCTACATTAGCTCCAGTCTGCATGCTCTGTGTAACAATGTATCCTCACTCAGAAATACCTGGAATATTTACCACAGGGCCATAATGCCTGTAGCTCAGGCACACTGCAGTTTGCCTGATTTATAGTTACATCAAATAAGTAAAGCTGTGTATTTTGGAGTGTCCATTTATATTTTAGATTAGTTTAGATCCATCTCTGCTAGCTACTTAACTACAGAAATTAGTATGCTGCTTAGTGTTATCAAGAGTGAGAATCTGAGCCTGCTACTAATGAAATCACCTTTATTCCATCTGGTGATGACTCTCTAAACTGATCCATAGATTGCTACTTATGATAAAGAAATTGTTGATCCATCTTTGAAAAATGCCTGTTGGTTGTATTACCTTTCAGCAATATTCATGAAAGAGGACTAACATAACAAAAAGTAATCTATTCAATGGAATTTAAAGAAATGAACCCTTGTCCTCAAGATCCCCACTGAGGAACGTTATCATATGTGTTGATAGTGGAATGATCCTACCTGATCAAGAGATGTCATACACATTAACATTGTGATGCCCCTCGCTGATGGAAAGGCGGAGGAAACTGAGGCAGAGTGACTTTTAAGTTATCAATTAAAAATTAGCCACTCGTGGGGCCTCCCTGTTAAAGACAGCACTGTCAAGCTATCTATCGCCACCCACTGCAGCTCGAGTTCGATCCCCAGCCAAGGAACAACCTACATGGCTCAGCAGACCTCTCCCACCTGGCCTGCCCGCTGCTCCCTTCAGCAGTGTGTTTGAGTAGATCTGCCTGTTCTGTTCCTCACTCTTTGGTGAATCTTCTCACCCCCCCACAACTCTGGCTTACACCCCAGTTCTTGTATGCATAAATAAATAAATCTTTTTTAAAAATTAGCCACTCTTTTACAAAGACAGAGGTGAAAGGAGTCCAGATAAAAACCTGACTGTGCAGAAAGGCCCTGCCTAAATTAAAATTAACAGGTAGTCCTGTTAACATGCCTATGAAGGGTATATAGATACTGAATTTAAGCCACTTTGAGATGCTTATGGACTCCATACCCAAGGATTGAAGCTTCTCCAAGTTTTGGCAGTTGCCAAAGACTCACCCCCGAGTGGCTTTCCCTTCCCTGCCATGATGCCTATTAAGAACCCTCTGGGGAGCCCCACCTTTTCTACATCGCCATTCTCTAGAGCCTTGTGAAGAGATTAGTTACCATCTCCCTTTTTTGCTACCACTTGAATTGTATGTTTTTAATGTTGTACATTCCCCCCAAATATTCATGTGATCATATGCATTTGACTAGAATTGTAAGTGTAGATTTTCTACTCTGTGGAAGCTAGCCCTCATGAGATCTT